GTGAGGTTTTCTACCTTAAAATGTTGCTAAATGTTCAGAAAAGACCAGTATGCTTCAAAGATTTCAGGACAGTAAACGAAGTTTTATATCTAACCTTCGCTGAAACATGTCTTGCAATAGGGTTAGTTAAAGCACTTGATGCTTAAGTGGAGATGGTAATGCAATTATTTGTAGAGTCTACTTGATAGAATTATAAGTAGAAAAATCGCACATATGAGTAAATCGAGACCAACAATGACGAAATCCTTGAAGAAATAATGCTTTAAATTCAAAAAGATTATAGGAAGACAAAGAAAATGAAAAAATGTTTGTTTAAAGAAAAAGACAGAGAAGATAAAATTTGCAGCATGTTCCGCAAATCCGAAGAAGGTAACCAATTATCCACGAGTTTGACCCATTTGACCCATTTGACCCTCTAACATAGCGGGTCAAGTTTTACAAAACCTGTTCCTGTTCATGGAAAAATATTTTTTGTGTTTTTCAAATTTAATTATCATTTTTCAAGTCTGTCTCAAAATATAAATGAACCTTTTATTATAACAAAATATTTAGTTAAAATTAGATTATATTTTACTATTAAATTTAAAGCCTTATAATTCAAAACACTAACCTTGAATTTCATAAACTACAAAAAATTGAAATATCTAAAACAGATTTGTGTATTGTATTTAAATAATTATATTTTAAAAATTGTTCATATCCGCACATGCGTGCGGGCCAATATTCTAGTAATAAGTGATTACTGAATTTTTCTTGAGAATATTATACAGCTGTGTAAGTTTTTTTTTATCAACTGGTCACTAATTATTTTCTTAATCCTTCCCGAAGAACTCATCAATGCTGATGCTACAAATGGTTGGACATGAGCTTTCTGCCAAGTTTGTACTTTCTCATTTTCCTCTTCTTTTTCATGTTTTTCTTCTTATTGCTTTACACTTCTCTGGTCCTTGTTGCTCTGGAGCTTACGATCTGATTCATTATAAACCGATTATAAAATACTTAAGAGGTTTTAGTTAATTAATCACAACGAATCAAATAATAGGTTTCATTCGATTGAGTAATGCACTTATGTATAAAATATTTTCACATTAGTGAAATGTAAAATAGTAAACAGTAAATTTGAACATCTGAAATAAAATATGTTGGTTACTTGGACGCCAACTAGGACTTTCTGAGTTTAACACAATTTTTTATGTTGTTGGTATGTTTTATACACACATCATCGATTTGAACCTGGGTAATAACATGATCACAATGTTAATACTGGTTAATTTCTAAGGTACAAAGCTATATAAATAAATATTGCATTTGTTAACTCAAATAAATAACTACAAGTTCAGAGTAAAATCTATGTATTTGACTTTTAAAAAGAATTATCTGTTTGATACTTCCTCTCGTTAAAGTATCTATCTTTGTCATATATTTTCGTTATTAGGTAAGATTAAGAGTATCATCTTTGTCACAGAATTAGTTTAGCAACAAAAAAAATTGTCAGAGAGTTAGGTAGATAATAGGATTATAAAGTATAAAATTAAAATTTTTAGTTTAATTGATTGTGAAGAATAAACAGTCTGTTAAAGTGCAGAAGTGACAGTACATTACTAGTATTTTGGTTGATTAGTTGGCTGTAACCCACGGTTTAACAATGAGCTGAATAAATAAAGTGATTAGATAAAAAACAAAAAATAGTTGCCAAAACAAAAACACAAAATATCTAATCAAAGATTAAACAACCAAAAAAATATTTAATTAATCTGGATAAGAAAAGGTTCACGAAATTGATACACTTGCATGATATCATTGTTGTGTTTGTAAATTAGGAGTCTCCTCCTATTTATTATTCCGGATGAATCTAGTAGAACTTCGGTATTTGAGAAAAGGTTATGGCATATGGTTCCTTGGACTCTTATTACTTTTTTATCGACACCTGAAATCACTCCAATTCCTATGTGGATTACTTTAAAGAGCATCCCGAGTTTATTGTACTCAGATTGGAGAACTAATTGGATAGGATCATGATATAAGATCAATGGAATGATCTTATAAATGGTTGGATGAATGAGTGGAAGCAAGTAGCTGGACTGAAGTCTCTTTCTACTTGTTTAAGAGATGATCGAAGTGGATGGTTTTGGGATCGATCGTGCTGGACTCAAGTCTCTTTCAGGAAAGATCGGTGGATGGAATGGATAGATGGGTTGACTGATTCCACATGCAACAATTTATGCTTCTAACTTCCAAGGGCTCATCCTCGCATGGACAGTAAGAAACAACACGAAAACTCAAATGTCTGATTCCACAAAACACTCAAGAACTCGCACGAACATAAGAGAAGCGATTCCACACAATCTCTAATGAACAAAGTAACAAAGCCTTAGCTTTTTAGAGAAAATTCTCTTTCATTTTCCAAAAATTTCTATATCATTTTACAATGAGAACAATGAGCTTTTATAGCTCTTACAAAAGATCTTTACAAATAAATACAATTAAATGAAATTATTTACATTTAAACAAAATGAGAAAAATAAGCTAAATCAAATAATGGTCTTCTTGCCACCAATCTTGCTTTGGACTTGAATGAGAATCCTTTAACTTTATAAATCATGAAGAACAGATTCTAATAATAATTCACATATTGAAGACTCTTGATTTACTGGTTTTTGATTTGTATCATTCTCTCCCTCTTCAAATGGTTTTGTCTTCAAAACTCTTTTTTTAGCAAATATTATTTAGAAAATAAATAAAACTTTTTTTTCATTTTATGTTTTTTTTTAAACAGGAAAATCGAAATAAACAAAAAACGTAAATAGAAATAGAGTTTTTTATTTTCTTTAATGAAAGAAACAAACTTCAATGATAAAGGAAAAACACTAATTTTTTTTGGGTTTTTTTATAAATAAAAAAATAATCATGAATAAAAAAAACAAAAACATAAAACTATTTTTTCTGAGTTTTTTTTTAAAGTTTATAAAAATTAAAGAATAAAAACAACCAAAACTTTTGTTGTTCTTTTTAATGAAATCTTGTAAAGCATGAAACAAAAACAAAACAGAAAAAAAAAGATAGAAGATATGAGCTTTTAGCTCTGATACCAAATTATATAAGATCAATGGAATGATCTTATAAATGGTTGGGTGAATGGGTGGAAGCAAGCAGCTGGACTGAAGTCTCTTTCTACTTGCTCAAGAGATGATCGAAGTGGATGGTTTTGGGATCGATCCTGCTGGACTCAAGTCTCTTTCAGGAAAGATCGGTGGATGGAATGGATAGATGGGTTGACTGATTCCACATGCAACAATTTATGCTTCTAACTTCCAAGAGCTCATCCTCGCATGGACAGTAAGAAACAACACGAAAACTCAAATGTCTGATTCCACAAAACACTCAAGAACTCGCACGAACATAAGAGAAGTGATTCCACACAATCTCTAATGAACAAAGTAACAAAGCCTTAGCTTTTTAGAGAAAATTCTCTTTCATTTTCCAAAAATTTCTATATCTTTTTACAATGAGAACAATGAGCTTTTATAGCTCTTACAAAAGATCTTTACAAATAAATACAATTAAATGAAATTATTTACATTTAAACAAAAGGAGAAAAATAAGCTAAATCAAATAATGGTTTTCTTGCCACCAATCTTGCTTTGGACTTGAATGAGAATCCTTTAACTTTATAAATCATGAAGAACAGATTCTAATAATAATTCACATATTGAAGACCCTTGATTTACTGGTTTTTGATATTGTATCAGATCAGGTCTAGGTGAACCTATGCTCACAAATAAGCCAAGGTTAAAGTCAATTCAAATGGGTGAGGCTAAGCTAATGGTGAAAGTGGAATTAGATAAAGCTTTTCCCCAGAAAATAGCAGCTGGAGACAAAAAAAAAGAAGCAATGTGTCAATAATTTCTATTGAGTACTCTTGAATTTCATCTAAGTGTGAGAGATGTGGGAAATTAGGCCACAAGAAATCAAGATGTCTGCTCCTTCATGAGATCAGTGCTAACACTCTAAATTTAGTAGAAATTTTGGGTGCAAATGCTGAAATAGCTACTGAAACTCATACTACATCACATAGATCTCCTTAAGCATATGCTCATTTTCTTGCTACTAGGGAAATAGCTAATGAAGAGTCAAACGCCGTTGCTGCTGCACCTGTTGCAGCTATTTCCACTTCACCTTTACCATGTGAAGATGCAGAATCAGTAGCAACTGATGTTGCTAATCCGAGTGATTTCAATCATATCAATGTGTTACAAACGGCCAATATTATTCCTTTATTTGGTATTCCTCCTGCTTCAGTAACTTTCTCAACTCCTTCTCTATCAGATTCAGCTAATGAAATTGTGCAAGAGAATATTTTTGGTAACTACTATTTTGTCACCTTAAACTTTGGAGCTACAAGTTTTGAGACGGGTGACCCTCCTCAAAAGACAAGAGAAGGAAGAGCAATAAAACCTACACACAAAGTTCAAGAAATGCAATAGACCATGATAGGAAAAGAAAGAAACAGAGGTCATAGCGCACTATTTTAGAAATACCTAAAAAAGCATCTCTAGTTCTTTCTTCTCTCTGGGTTTTTTTACTTTGGTGTAGAAATCTTTTACTTTCTTTAACAACTTTCTCAAACTATATGACCAAAATCCTATCCTGTATTGTTTATTTTCTTTGCATTTTAATTGAAAAAAAAAATTATGCTTTTGGGTTAAATATATAAATTTCAGTAAGTAATAATGGTTTGTAAAAGTTAACTAATAGAGGACCTTTCTTGTCAGAGAATAAAACACATGGGAGAGAACCTACCTAAGAAAACAATGCATATTTTTTGTTTTCTTTGCATGTCTAATTAGTCCCAAGACTCCCCAACTCCCCAATTCATCTAGTTAACCGGAATACTCTCGATCCAAATTTTTCACTGACTTAACATGGGCCTCGAAAAGGCCCAAATATTCTCAAAGATGGACCAACGGCACACATATGTCCCCCGCCTTTAAAACCACGACGGAGAAGAACTCGAGCCATGACGGTTCCGAGAAGAGAGAAATTTTTCAAAAATCAACATTGCAGCAGGAGAGAAAGAGCAAGAACCCTAATCGATTACGTGCTTTTATTAGTCCTACTTTTTTTCATCGTTCCTTTTTCCACTGATAATCTCTAAAATGGCGAGTGAGCGTTCCCAATCTTCCTCGCCGTCGCCATCTCAATCTCCGTCATCTCTACCTTCTCCGTCGCTGGGCAACAATGTCGGCGATACGTTCATCGGGAGCTTCATCAGTCTAATTTCTAACTCCGAGATCCGTTACGAAGGCACTCTATACCATCTCAACGTTCAGGACTCGACGCTAGGTCTTAAGAGCGGTACGGCTTCGAATACCTATTGCGATTTTTTTTCCGGATATACCTATTTTAGGTTTTCGAACGCAGATTTAAATGTTCATGCGTGTGTATTTGTAACCAGGACACTTAGTATATCTCTGTCGCCTTGTTTCAATTATAGATACTGGAATTTTGTTTCTGATTCCGTTCTAGTTGGTGATTATGTTTTTCTTGATTTGGTCTTTGATTCAAGAAGGGAATGTAAAAGAAGGTTGATCATTCGTTAGTACGTAGTTTCAATTCAGTTTTGTGTTGACATTTAGAGTGTAAAATTTGGTAATTATGACCAAAATCTGGAAACTTTTATGTAACTGAACCATGAGATATAAAGTTACCAAAGCAAAAATCAACTTGTGTTGCTCTTCAAATGTGGTGTCCTTTTACTTGTGCTGAATCATAATACCCTTATGTTATGTGTTGAATGGTTGTGCAGTAAGATCTTGTGGAACGGAGGGGAGGAAGAAAGATGGACAGCAAATTCCTTCATGTGATACAGTTTACGATTACATTCTTTTTCGAGGAAGTGACATCAAGGTTAGTGATTATACTCTTTACCTTGTTACACATATTATGTTTGATGTATTTGGTAGTTGGTTATTTCTAATTCGGGTTCCCTGAAACATGTGACCGTTATGTAAGTTTGAAGATTAGTTATAATGAATTTGTGATGTTTTTCAGGATCTGCAAGTTAACCCTTCTCCATCTGCACAGCCACGACAGGAGATTCAAAGTGAACAGAACATCAATCAGGTAAAGTATGGATAATGGTAACTGTCTGTTCAAACTATCTGATTGCATGATTTTTCAGTTTCTTATTCACTCTTCCTTGTTTACAGGCTTCTCAGTCTAGGCCAGCTATAAGCTCTCCTCTTTCTGGCTATGAGAGTGGTTACGGTTCAGGGAGAGGAGCACAATGGGCACATACACCTGCTTTGAGTAGTAAACCGGTTCCTGCCACACAACATTCCTCTGTCCCTTTAAGCTTCCAGCCTCCTTCAGCTAATGGTGGAAGCTTGACAGAATCATCAGCAAGCCTAATTGGTTCAGCAAACACTTCTCAGGGAACTCAAAGTAATGCTGGTCGGTCTATGCCCATGCCTTCTTTTGTGCAAGGAAATAATAAACTAGCTTACAATGGTCTCCCTCTTGGTATGGTGCACCAGGCAGATTCATCTCACTCTACTACGAAGCACAATGGTCCACATATTATAGATATTTTTTCTTCACCAATTATGGGTTTAGTAGATGATTCATCACAGGTTGTTACTCGTACACCTGACGTTGCTACTAACCCTTCCCCCCTTGGTCAAGCACAACGCCATTCTACACCTGGACTTGCTTCATCACCCTCCGACGTTTCTCCACTATCTTCTGCTCCATATATTCAGAACAGTTTCCCCATTGCACCCCAGGCTGTTGGCAAAGGCGTCTATGACTCTCGGTTTAACCATCAGAACCGATCTGTACCGTATGAGTTAACCGCTGTGACTTCTCATTCAGGTCCTTTAATCCCTGGTCCTTTTGTGAACCCGCCTCAGTCATTCTCCGGCATGAGGCCGTTACTGCAATCTAGGCAGCAGATGGTCAATAGAGGTCAAGAGATGTTTGCTGCAACTAACCCGTTATCAGTGGATGCGCCATCTCGAAGTCTTGCTCCCACATATCAAGCGCCATTGCTGCCTCTTCCAGTTTCAGCTCATCAGGTCTCTTTTTCTTTTTAATTCTATCTCTAAATGTTTTCTCGTAACTATCACATTCACACCTATGCATGATTTATCATGAAATTTCTTCTTGATTACATTGGTTCTTAGATTCATGATGTCACCAGCAGTGATCATTTAGCCACATATCAAGCGCTAATGCTGTTTTTTTTTTTTGATGCCATCGTTTTTGAAATTCATGCCATAGTTTTTAATTTGGTTTTTCTGGTTCTAAATGTGTTGCAGTCTCGGATCCCTAGCTCTAGCATTGAGTTCACTGAAGAATTTGATTTTGAGGCAATGAACGAAAAGTTCAAGAAGAGTGAACTATGGGGTTTTCTTGGGAAAAACAATCAAATGAATCAGAGGGAAGAAACTCCAGTTGAGCCAAGCGAAGAAGGGAAGGCAAAGGTATTCATTTCTATCGTTATCAAAAGTCTAGTGAAAATCTGATTCTGAAGCTCTTGACGTTATCTTTAGTCAATATGATCTTATATGATATTATGATATCTTAAGCAGCAGTCAAACATTTGTGTTTGCTTGTTGCAGCCTGCTTATAACAAGGATGACTTTTTCGATACAATCTCGTGCAATCCACTTGACCGTATGGCAAGAAGCGGACAACAGCAACAACAACACATCCAGTTTCCCGAGCACATGAGACAAGATCCTGGGGTTTGTATTCAATCCTTTCTATATCCACCAACCCAAAAGTTCTGAAACTTTTCTTCCTCAAAAATTGCATTAGTGTTTCCTTATGGATCTATCTGTCTGTGCTCTTCGACCTTAATTTCAGGTATTTGGTAACCATTTTCAAAGGCCACCTCCACCACAACCGGGTCAGGGTGCATATCTCGCTGCACAAAACAATTACAGAGGCGGATATAATAATAACAACAACAACAATAACAACTACTACTCAAATTCGGGTTATGGTTACTACTCTGGTGGTAGAGGCCGAGGCAGAAACACACATTTCTAACCTGCTGATGTTTTCTGTCTTGCTTTGTTGGGTCACTCGCGCACTCGCAATACCTTAGTTCATCTCTCTTATGGAGTTCAGTTTTTTTTTTGTTTAAGGGTAAAAAACAGTTTTATAGTAACCATGGTTCGGATTGGTAACACTTTAAAATTGAGGAAATGACACGGTGAAATTAGACGAATTGATTGCACAAATTGTGAGGAATATACTGGAATGGCAAAATATTAATATTTAAAAATAAATTTTCACTATAATAATTTTCATATAATATTTGATATCATAAAGAAATTAAAATATGGGCAATTCTCATTAATACACATTTTTAGGTTTTGTGGACATAATTAAACACAGTGTTAAGAAACTTCTGCTCCTTAACATATTAATAAATGAACTCATGATATTACCTTTATTTAATAATCTAAAAAATCTAAAAACCTTAGATCTCGACTGCCGTAGAAGAAGAACTCTAGATTTCGACCGCCGTAGAAAACAACGACGGCGAAGCCGCTGTAGAAGACAACGGATTTAAATCGTACAACAAACGGCGGATTGAAAACTGTACAACTTACCTAGATCTCGACCGCCGTAGAAGAAGAACTCTAGATCTCAACCGCCGTAGAAGAAGAACCCTAGATCTCGACTGCCGTAGAAGACAACGGCGGCGGCACAGATTTAAATCGTACAACAAACGGCGGATTGAAATCGTACAACTTACCTAAAATCTAATTTCCAATTATTTCGGTTCGATAACCATTGATTGAAATCGTGCAATAAACGGCGGCAATTGAAAATGTTTATGAGTGAATTGAAATGTTTGTAAGTGAATTGGAATGTTTATGAGTGAATTGACATGTTTATGAATTAAAATCGAAGAAGAAAATCGTCGAGGAAAATTTACAACTGTTTTCAGAATCATTTCCAATTATTTCGGAAGTGCTTCCTAAATATTAAAAAAAAAACAAATAAGACAAAAAAGCAATCTGTGGTTATCGAACCGATGACCTCATTTATTTCGTAGTAAAGCTCTAACCGCTATGACCGAATTATTTCGTTGGATAACTGTAAGTAACTTCCTGATTTATGCATATAAATACAAGAGAAAAACGTGTTGAGCAGTTTTAAAGTTGAGAAAACTGCTCAACACGATTCAGTTTCGCCATTTCGCTCCCGACCGTTCGGTTTCCAAGCGAATTGAAGACGAAGCCCTAAAATATAATTTCTTTCCGGAACTACCGTTAACGGCAAAGAAGACATTGGCGACAGAGAAGGCGACAACTAAGATTCAGTAAGAAACTCCTGTCCCAAAACTTCTATCATCTTTTTTGAGAGATTTAGGATATGCTTTAGTTTCATCTTCAATTTCAACTTATCGAGGGGTTGGTTTATAGATTTGTGTAGTATAAACTTCAATTTCAACTTATGAAGGATCGTCCTAAGATTCATATTTCAAAAAACAATATTGTTGGTTTATGGCTCTTCTTTGTAATTTTAGGATTTGGATTTAAGAAACGCCTTCCAAAAAGTTCTATGTTTGGCTCTTCTTTTTTGCTTTATGATCGAGATTTAGGAGAACCTTCTAAGTGTTATTTGTCAACTCTCAAAATGTGTTATTAGATTTGGTTATTGTGTGATTTTTGATTTTTGTTTCTTACAATCACTGATATTTTGCGTTTCTTTTCTTGTAGCAGTTGAAAATAGACATCACACTTCCTACGCTCAAATACAAGATGGAGAAGGAACCTGTGAATGGATTCAAGGCCATAGACAAGTATTCAGACTTCAAGTACATCGCCAGGGTGAAGGAGATACCCGAGCCTGAGCAGTTTAAGAGAATCGAGGACTCTTTCTTGGGTCCGGTTTTGCAGTTCTGTTCGAGGAATCTCTCTATGTCAGGGAAGATGATCCACACAATTCTGACCAAGAACCTGGAAACCAAGAAAGAAATGGAGCTGTGGTTTCATTTTGGTGGACATCCTATGAGATTCTCTGTAAGAGAATTCCATATGATCACGGGGCTGAAATGCACCGAATGGTTGCCTGCTGTTGAGGAAGAGGCAAACCACTATGATTGGTCTCGATTGGAGGATGGGCATTCACCCGACAACCTGATAGAACTCATCATGGAAGCCAGAGAAGATGCTCATGATGAGAGGTTTTCTTTGGCTATGGTGCTGCTCATCGAGACAATATTTCTGCATAGGTATTTGAAGGCTATGTTCTCCACATCTAATTTACAGAAAGCGCAACACATGGATGTCTTGCTGAATTATCACTGGGGATAGATGCTTACGAAATGCTGTTAAAATCAGTGAAGAAGACTGTGGAGAACAGTCTAGAAAAGTCCAAGTACCCTCTGGACGGGTTCCCTTTTGCGCTTCACCTATGGATTTTGGAATCTGTACCCAAGCTTCAGTCGGCTTTCTCTACGATTGACAAAACAGTCTCGCCCACAGCTTTTTTTGTGTGTGAAATATCTTCACACAACATCTCCTTCCATCAAAGCTTTTTTGAGCATAGAAGGCGAAAGCGATGTAAGTGCCTTCCTTTACTACTTTGATTATCTAGAATATGTGTCATTAGTTTAGGAAGACTTTCCTAACAAAACATAGATGAATGACGTGTGTTTTTTGTCTATGCAGGTGGATGTCGTACACATCCTTCCGAAAATACATGGTGACCTCGAAGACACCGTGTTTTTGCAAGACAAAGACGATGAAAATCTGCATTCGCTTGTGGATCTGTTAGAGAATGCTTTCAAGCTGACACATGATCACTGGAAAAGAAAGATTTTGAAGAGAGACGATGCATTGCAATACATTGCATCGCAGTCATATCGCTATCCCCATTCAGAAAGAGCGAGACAAAACTCCAGACCACCATCTTCAGACGAGTCAGTAGAGGCGAAGCTTGACCAGCTCAAGAAGATATTCGTAGATGGACAGACATATCCGTTCTTGATTATCAAAGATCGAGCAAAAGCTTGGGATATATGATCCTTCAGATTCCATTGATGAGGTATTGATTGAAAATATATATATATGTTTGTTAGAGTTAGTTCATTGATAAATTTTCTAACATCACGCTGTTATCTGTTTTTCCTTGAAGGAGGATATATCTGATGACGTCTCGCCTCCTGTGCACCATGAAACTGGTATATACCCAATGGAGAAAGTACCTTCAAGAACAAAGACTGTCAATAAAAGTGGTGTTGTTGAAACAACCAAAGAAACTGATAAGGTACTTAAACAATTTTTGCCATCTACATTTGCTAAAACATTTCGGGACTAATATGCTGTCATCTATTGTTTTGCAGATGAACGATGATGAGACAACTATGAGTAGCAAAGAACAGGAGGAAGCCCAAACACAGATGGAAAAGGATGAGAGGACCCAACCAATTGAGGAGCAACAAACTGTTAACTATTCTTGTTTCGTTTGGATTTGATTACTTTAGTAAGATCTTCCTAAACATTTGTTAAAAGTTCCTAACAAAAAATGATGGATTTCCAGGTGCAAACCCCGCCTGTGATATCGACATCCATGCAGACGGTCGGAGGCAATGAACCCACAGAGATGGCCAATGATGATGGGAGCCAAGCAATAGAAGGGACTACAGTAAGAAAATCAGGATTCTTTTACGTTTTGGTGTTTTAGTAAGGTCTTTCTGAACATCTGTTAGATGTTCCTAACCCAAAAAATGTTTTGCTTCCAGGTACAAACCCCGCCCGTGGTTACGTCCACGGAGCCTGTTGCAGGCGCGGGACAAACAGAAACTGGCAATGATGATGGGAGCCAAGAAAAAGATGAAACCACAGTACGAAAATCAGTATTCTTTCGCATTTTAATATTTTAGTAAGGTCTTCCTGAACATCTGTTAAACGTTTCTAACCCAAAAAATGTTGTGCTTCCAGGTACAAACCCCGCCTGTGGTTACGTCCACGGAGACTGCTGCAAGCGCGGGACAAATAGAAATGGACAATGATGATGGGAGCAAAAAAAAGGATGAAACTACAGTAAGAAAGTCAGGACTCTTTTGCATTTTGATATTTAGTATGGTCTTCCTGAACATCTGTTAAACGTTCCTAACACAAAATGTTGGACATCCAGGTGGTTTCCGCACTTGTCACTCCTATCGTTGCTCCTGTTAAGGGAATTAGACGCAAGAGTCCTAAAACTTACTTGACGGAAGGTTCTTTAGTCGAAGTATCGAGTGAAGATAACAGGTGGTTTCCTGCTTCGGTTATAAATAGACAGCCTGGTCTAGGTCCTATCCGTAGCTATTATTTGAGGTACATGAGCATTGATAAGTATGAGAATGTCCAAGAGATGCGGATCCGTCCTACACCGCCTCAGCTGCTTCAGGAAGAACATGCCACCAACGTTTTAGAGGCTGGGCAAGTCGTTGAGGTTTACCACAATGAGCACTGGTGCAGAGGCTGTGTGAAAGCGCCTACTGAGGGTACAGATGTTTCTATCCACCTTTATGATATCGACAAAACACAACTGATAGACGTTAGGGATACAAGGATTTTTAGAAAATGGGTGGACGAGGCGTGGGATCCTCCTGTGAATGTGGCTATCCAGGTACATCGTTTATACTGTGATAAAATCCTGTATTCTTTAAATAATTACAAAAAATTTAACTAAGTTGTTTGAATGTTGCAGGAAGACGCAGTGACGTCTGCTTCACCCACGACAGTATAAGACATTGCGAAGGTAAAATTCCTTTCCTAAAAACTATTTTTCACCAAGTTTTTTATTGTTTTTTACTAGTGAGAAACTTTCAATTGCACTGTTTTTACGAAAGCCTGTCTTCTTATCAAAGGGTAACCCAGAGAAGAAGAAAGTGGAGAAGGCGAAATCCATGGAGGAGAAGAAGAAGAAGGAGAAACCGAAGAAAAAAAAAGCGAAGAAAGAGCAGAATGAAGAGCTAGAGAAAACATCTCTAAGAAGGAGCAAACGGTTCAAACAAACAGATATGTGATATGCATATTCGGAACAAAAAAGTAGAATGAATTCTGTTGGTGGTGTTAGTTGCCATTTGTTAAAATGGTTAATGGTTGTAACGGTGTTTTTGGATGTGTTCGTTTGCAAACATGGATTTGAATACATGGTATGTAACTTTGGTTTTTAAACAATGTTGCTTTTTGTTTATCAATCAGTTGTACTTATTTCAGACCTTGTATTTTCATTCATTTCAAATTGATTTTCATGACAAGGTAATTTTATGGTTACTAGGAAAAAAGAAAAAGGTTTAGGAAGCCTTCCCAAATGAATATCCAGAGAAGGAAAAGGTTTAGGAAGCCTTTCTAAATGAACTTAGATTAAAGTAAATGATTTAGGAAGGCTTCCTAAATGAATATTAAAAAAAAATGGTTTAGGAAGGCTTCCTAGATGAAACTTGTGAAAAAGAAAACGATTTCAGAAGGCCTCCTTATTAAAACTTGGATAGAGAAAATGATTCTGGTAGGCTTCCTAAATGAATATTCAAAAATTGTTTTAGTGATTTTAAAAGTTTTGGACTGTAATCCTAAATTCCAGGAATAATGTTTGGGTCCCTTCTTCCCTCGATATTTAGGAATCAATTGTAACATTTCAGAAAGGCTTCCTAAACAGTAAAGCATAAAACAAAAAAGTTATAATTAGACTCTAAGGTTGTGTCGAACTGGAGACACGTTTGTTTAATCGAAGAAGCACTAACCGCTGAGGCCGAATCGTTGTACTTGTCTAATATTTCGAAGTTATATATTTATGTTTTAAAAAGATTATATGTACTTTTGGGAATCCTTACTCATCGGCGATATCGAAGGTGATTTCCAGATAAAAACCTAATTTACAGCGGCGACAGCGATTTACAGTGAAAACCCGGATTTTCAGCAGCGGTGCATCGGCGAAGAAGACATCGACGACAGAGAACGCGACAAGTAAAGATTCAGTAAGAAACTCCTGCCCCGAAAAACTTCTCTCATCTCGACGACTCACAAAAATCGATCTCTTTCGATCATGATTTACCACTTTTTGAGTGATTTTAAGATAAGATTTAAATTCTATTGTGGGGTTTGTTTATAGATTTGTGTAGAAGGAACCTTCAATTTCGACTTATGAAGGGTCGTCCTAAGATTCAAATTGTGACATTTTTTGTTTCTATTGTTACACATTTCGTTTTTATTGTGACATTCTTCGTCTTTTTTCTTGTAGCAATTGAAAATGGACATCACACTTCCTACGCTCAAATACAAGATGGAGAAGGAACCAGTGAGTGCGTTCAAGGCCATAGATAAGTACCCAGACTTCAAATATATTGCCAAGGTGAAGGAGATACTCGGGCCTGAGCAATTTAAGAGAATCAAAGACTCTTTCTTGGGTCCGGTTTTGCAGTTCTGTTCGAGGAATCTATCTATGTCAGGGAAGATGATCCACACAATTCTGACCAAGACCCTGGAAACCAAGAAAGACAAGGAGCTGTGGTTTCATTTTGGTGGACATCCTATGAGATTCTCTATAAGAGAATTCCATATGATCACGGGGCTGAAATGCACCGAATGGTTGCCTGCTGTTGAGGAAGAAGCAAACCACTATGATTGGTCTCGATTGGAGGATGGGCATTCACCCGACGACCTGATAGAACTCATGATCGAAGCCGGAGAAGATGCTCATGGTGAGAGGTTTTCTTTGGCTATGATGCTGCTCATAGAGACAATTTTTCTTCATAGGTATTCGAAGGCTATGTTCCCAACATCTAATCTACAAAAAGCGCAACACATGGATGTATTGCTGAATTATCACTGGGGGATAGATGCTTACGAAATGCTGTTAAAATAAGTGAAGAAGACTGTGAAGAACAATCTAGAAAAGTCCAAGTACCCTCTGGACGGGTTCCCTTTTGCGCTTCACCTATGGATTTTGGAATCCGTACCCAAGCTTCAGTCTGCTTTCTCTACCATTGACAAAACAGTCCTGCCCACAGCTTTTTTGTGTGTGAAATACCTTCACACAAAATCTCCTCCCATCAAATCTGTTCTTAGCATAGAAGGAGAAAGCGATGTAAGCGCCATCCTTTACTACTCTGATTATCTAGGATGGTGTTTAGGAAGGCTTTCTTAACAAAACATCGATGAATGACATGTCTTTTTTGACTTTGCAGGTGAGTGTGGTACACATCCTTCCGAAAATACATGGTGACCTCGAAGACACCATGTTTTTGCAAGACAAAGACGATGAAGATCTGCATTCACTTGTGGATCTGTTGGACAAATGTTTCGAGCTGACGCATGATCACTGGAGAAGAGGAGTTTTGAAGAGAGACGATGCATTGCAATACATTGCATCGCAGTCATATCGCTATCCCCATTCAGAAAGAGCGAGAAAAAACTCCAGAGCTTCTTCTTCAGACGAATCAGTAAAGGCAAAGATGAACAAGCTCATAGAGATGTTCGTAGATGGACAGACACATATCCGTTCTCGATTATCAAAAATTGAACAAAAGCTGGGAATACATGATCCTTCCGATTCAATTGATGAGGTATTGAAAAATAATATATATGATTAGAGCTTGTTTTTTAATACATATTCTAACAACAGACTGTTATTGGTTTTTCGTTGAAGAAGCTTACTCATGTGGACGTATCAACAGGTTTAGACGCCACTGGTTCGCGACGGAATGATTCGCTAAATCAGGTATGGATTTATTAGCCAGACAAGATACTGGATTATACCTAGGTACACGAAAATTAGATATCCATATTGCGTTTTAGGAAAGCCTTCCACTGAATTATGAATTCTTCCAAAATTATACTTGAGAAAAAATGTGTGGTGTTGACGTTATCGGGTGTTGTTTTGCAGATGAACCAAAATGTGGTAGAAGGGAGAGGCAAATCACAGCGGGTGCCCCACACACAGATGGGGAAAGATAAGGTGTCCATACCACTGGATCAAGAGAGACGCAAATCACAGCGGGTACCCCAGACACCGATGGGAAAGAATAAGGCTTCCATACCACTGGACAAACAAACTGTTAGATTCTCTCTTGTTTCCCTTGAGATTCGAAAGTTTTAGGAATGCGTTCCTGAATCTATGCTAAATGTTCCTAACACAAAAAGTTGGCGTTCCAGGTACATACCCCGCTTGTGGCAACTTCCACTGAAGCAGTTACAGGCACCGGACCGACGTTTTGGCACTCACGCAAGACGTTGATGCCTACCACGATAACCACTGGTGCAGAGGGTATGTTCAAGCGCTTCTCGATGGTCCAAAAGTTTGTATCCACCTTCATCATGTCGAGAAAAACCTTAAGTTCCAAATTGGTGACGTAAGGATTCATAGAGAATGGGTGGACGAAGCGTGGGATCCTCCTGTGGATGTGGATATACAGGTACATCATTCATACTGTGGCAAAACCTTGTATTCTCCAGAATAGTTCCAAAAATTTTACCTAATTTGTAATTACATTGCAGAAAAACGCAGAGACGTCTGCTTTGCCCACCAGAGTTGAAAACATTTCAGAGGAACTCTGTGATCAGGCAAACGTAAATGATCAGGTATTAATATCATTTTACGTCATTCTTATTATTCTAGAAAACCTTATTTCCAAAAACAACTAACCAGTTGTTTTTGATTTTTGTTGAAGGAACTTAAGGAGGATTCTCCAGACGAGGTATAGTTTTACGGTTTTTGTTTTTCTTTTGTATGGTGTAACGAAATATGCTTCCTGTTTGCTTCTTACATATGTATACAACTATTGTTCCCAGATAATCCGAAGTGTCATAAGTGCTTACACCGTATCAGAAAATGATGATGGAAATGATGGAGTAAGAACATTTTCTTTTGCGCTTGGTTAAAAAACATTTCATACCTAAAAAAATTGCTATATGATCTTTTGCAGATGAATGAAAATGAGACACAAACAAAGAAGCTAAAAACTGTAAGATTTCTGGTTTCTTTACTACTATTAGGAAGGTTTTCCTAAACTTTTGCTAAATGCTCCCGGCGATTTATCATCATTTGTATGATGCAAAAGCAGAAAAAGACAGAGAAGAGGCCCCATAATGAAGATGATCTTCCGGCTAATAAGAAGAAGAAGAAGGGTGAGGAGAAGTCAGAAAAGTCTAAGGGGAAGAGCGCACAGGTGGCCGAACAATGTACAGCTACAATAGATCCATTTCAATCGCCGAAAATGGATAAGTTGACAGCCTATAAGGAGTGGTTGGAGAAGGGAGAGACAGCAAGGTTAGTATATATCAAAAACATAATGAGTTGTTGTTATAAAATTGTTTTGTAACGTAAATGTCTTGACGATATCTAATAAAAACACAGAATTGGTGATATGGTTGCTACTGCAACCTTGTTCTGGAATATGGAGAATCCCGAAGCTCGTTTTCGTGATACGGTAAGAAGGAAGTAGTCATGGAATACTTGTATTCTTCTTTCTTAGATTGGCGGCAGAATATTCTTGGTTACTCTGACTCCATGTTCTTGCAGGAAATAAATGCAGTGTTGATGATGTTGCAAAAGAAAAGAGAGGAACATGGCGCATATTTCAATAACGACAAATTCCCTAGAGCTGCATTCTGCAAAACAGACTTTTTTTATGAGCTGTTACAATGCCACGACAAATTCGAGAGGTATCGAACCAAATTGCCATTCCTTGATAGTGTTACAAACATTGTAAAGGGAACAGTTTTCCCGCACAAGAAGTGGAAGAAAGATGTAGATGTCGTCTATGGAGTCATTAAATCCATGGTTCCCCACAGGATTGGAGTGGAAATTAATTTTAAGAGCTGCCAAGTGGAGAATTTCTCGTGCAATAGTCTATGGGAGAAGAAAGGAGTAGTCTTGGATATTGTTAGGAGGATAGCAGGTACACTTTTCCTTTTAACTATATGTGAGATGATTCGGGAAAACATTAGTCAGAGTTGGGCGGGGTGTTCTTAAATCATGATTTCTGTTAATGAAAACTTATTCATAATTGTTGCAGATATGATACCTACCCTCCTCGGCATTGCTGAGAACAAAAAGCCAAAGAGATATCTGGAACCATTCAAAGTCGTCCATCACATTGAAGAAGAGTTTTCCTTGTCCAATATAGGTTTCTGGGTGACTGACTGTCCCGTGTATGTCGTCAAGATGGTCGAGTGTCGATCATTTGGGGGGTCATGACTTCTCAAAGGTTGCTCATATGAGTGTTGCGGACATGAAGACCAAATATGTATGTGACATCTTTGAGCAGTTTGTGAACAACAAGTAGGACCTAGGAGACTGTTGTTAGTAGTTTTAGTTTGCATTTTGAACATGGTTAATGTTTTTTCTTTTCCCGGATCTAAAACTAAAACTTATGATATTATCTGTTTAGTAAAAGGCTAATTATCTATGGACGTTGGATGAAGAAAAAAGTTAATTTAACAAAATGATTTAGGAATTGGTTAGGCTGTTGTCGGAAAGGAATCCTAAAAACACAAACAAAAAAATAAAGTCAAAAATTAGGTTACGTCACAGGGAATCGAGCTGTTGACCTCGTCAATTGACAATGAATTATTTAACCACTAAGTACGTGAAGGATAGTTGTCAGTCCGTAAGATCTTATTTATTTATACCCTCTTCAAGCGAAGTGTTTACATTTAGGAACCCTTCCTCACACAAAAACACAAACTTTCTTCTCTCTCTTGGCGATTAATAGAAAAACCCAGAGAGCGCTCTTAAACCCGTGGAGAACGGCGACGACTCTCTTCGCGAGGATTCACACAAATTTTACACCTTTTTCGACGATTGACCCAAAACTGGTTCTCTCTTCGCGATAACTCTCTTCCCAAACCCACAGGTATCAAAGTTTTTTGGGTCATTGTGTATGCTAATTTTAAATTCATCACAGTTTTGATGTTCCAATTAAATTAGATTCTCGAACTGGGATATAAATTTCCAACTCGCTGTTTTGATTATTTCGATTACATCATAGGAGAAAACAAAAACTCCAAAAAATTTGGGATGCTTAGGAAGGTCATCATGAAATCAATACCTCTTTGACAAACAACATAGATTTGACAGATTCTGCAATTTTTGTGTCTGAAGTATTGAATTTGATGACGAAAATTGTTCTTTACTTGTTGTCTGTGGCGTGTTAGGAATAACATGGAGGATTCACAGCCTTCTACGCTGATAGCACTCCCGAAGTTGCGTTACGAATTTGGGAAATAGCCTAGGAAGAATTTTAAGGCCATAGACCAACACTCGAAAACATCATACATTGAGCAAGTCAAAGAAATACTGGGGGAAGTGCAGTTTAATAGGATCATGAATTCTTTTTTGGGGGCTCTCCTGAGATTGAGCTCAAAGAAGATGCTAATGTCAGGGAAAATGATCCATGTTTTCTTGACAAGGAGTTTAATAAGGAAGAAGAGCAATGAGCTTTGGTTCCATTTTGGATCGCATCCTTTGAGATTCTCAATAAGAGAGTTTGATATGGTCACTGGATTAAAGTGTTCCATTTGGACTCCTCAAGCTGCTCCAGAAGCAAGTGTTTATGATTGGGATGGTTTGAAGACAGAGTCTCACTCAACTGAAGACCTGATCGATAAGATGCTCAGGGCTGTAAAAGATGCTTATGATGAAAAGTTTTCCTTAGGGATGTTGGTGCTGATAGAGTCTCTGCTCTTTGGGAGATACAAGGAGTACAATTTTCCGGGAAGTTTCATAGAGAGAACGCAAGACATGAAGACTCTGATGAACTATCATTGGGGGAGGAAAGCGTATGAGTTGCTCTTGTCATCAATCAAGTCAAGGGTGCCTTCGCATTTGGATAAAGCGAAGTATGTTCTTCAGGGTCACTGTTTTGCCTTCCACTTGTGGTTGCTAGAGTCGGTCCCTATGCTACAGACTGCCTTCTCATCAGTCAGCAACAGTATTTCGTCCTATACCTTCTTATGTGAGAAGTACCTTTACACAACATCTCCTTCAATAAACCAAGTTCTCACCATAAAAAGATCACCTGATGTAAGTATTTCGTCTCTTATGTTAACATGATTTATGATGCCTTCCTAGATGATACATAGATTTATGATGCCTTCCTAGATGATACATAGATTTAGGAAGCCTTCCTAAATGATACATGGGGAAACGAAAATAGATTTAGGATGCCTTCCTAGATGATACATAGATTTAGGAAGCCTTCCTAAATGATAGATGGGGAAACGAAAAATGATTTATGATGCCTTCCTAGATGATACATAGATTTAGAAAGCCTTCCTAAAATGATACATGGGGATACGAAAACGATTTAGGATGCCTTCCTAAAAATTGTAGTAAACTTCTGTATATCTTTAACATGTTTCGCATTTGTGTCTTACAGATGAAGGTGATCTTCAAATTGTCTGCTCTATCAAATGATGCTGAGGACACAGTCTGCATGGAAGACGAAGATGATTATGACCTTGAAGAACTTGCTGAAGTTCTTACAAGAGGCTACTCTCTGAGCTTAGGAGATTGGGTAAATAAAAAACTTTATCTAGTTGATGCGCTAGAGTCCAATGGATTAATCTCTGTCATGGTTCATAATGCCGAGACTTTTGAAGCTTCAAGTTCGGCTTTTAATATGGGGGCAGAGATACCAACTTCTTCGCATTCAATGATTATGGGAAAGCTGGCCAGTATCATTCTAATGGTTAAAGAAAGTAACCTTATGATCTTTGATCGATTGCATAAGATAGAAGAGAAGCTGGGAATAGATTGGGAAGATGAAGTTACCGTAAGTTTCCCTATTTGTGTCAATGTTATGTTTGATTTTTAGCTAGATTTCAGAATTTGAATGTGAGATTTAACAAGTTGATTTACAGGAATCCGAAGGTGGTTACCAGAGAACACCTATGCACAAGGGGAGCTCAGCAACGGGTGTAGCTGACGATGTTTACTCAACTGAAGAGGATAACTCAAGTGAAGACAAAAACATGGATAATACACAAGTTCAAGATAGTCAACCAACACAGAAGATTCCCCAAGGTGCCACACATGAGCTTCTGAATATAGAGATGATTGAATCTCATGCATCTGAGGGAGATCAAAAAGAAGCGCTAATACAAGCCAAAAATAGTCAACCAACAATACTTGAAGGGACACCAACACAGCAGATCCCCACAACACAAGAAATACCTGAAGCTGAGGGAGACCCAGTACAGGTGTCAACACATGAGATATTTTTTACTGCTGAGGTAATAAGATTTGGATTTCTTTTGCATTTTCATCAGCTAAGGAAGTTTTTCCTTGAAAATGTATATTAAATGTACATGACCAAGTTATGCATTTGACAGAGTGAAAAAGAGTGGGCAGATTCAAATTCGGAGAAACAAGATACTCAACTGATACTGTCCCTTACTACCACAGAGCCAATCAGTGACGAAGATGTTACTCACAAGGTCAGATTCCAAAACGCTTGGGAAGCTCTTCCAAAAAATTGTGTTAATTTCCGGACTAATATGCTGTCAATTATTGTTTTTCAGATGAACAATGATGAGACAACTGAGAGTAGCAAAGAACAGGAGATAGCCCAAACACAGATGGAAAAGGATGAGAGGACCCAACCAATGGAGGAGCAACAAACTGTTAGCTATTCTTGTTTCTCTTGGATTTCATTACTTTAGTAAGGTCTTCCTGAACACGAGTTAATAGTTCCTAACAAAAAATCATTAACTTCCAGGTACAAACCCCGCCTGTGATATGGACATCCACGGAGACGGTTGGAGGCACCGAACCCGCGGAGATGGACAATGATGATGGGAGCCAAGAAAAGGATGAGACTACAGTAAGAAAATGAGGATTCTTTTGCGTTTTGTTATTTAAGTAAGGTCTTTCTGAACATGAGTTAATAGTTCCTAACAAAAAATCATGGACTTCCAGGTTCAAACCCCGCCTGTGATATCGACATCCACGGAGACAGTTGGAGGTACTGAACCCACAGAAGTTGACAATGATGATGGGAGCCAAGAAAAGGATGAGACTATAGTAAGAAAATGATGATTTATTTGCGTTTTGTTATTTAAGTAAGGTCATCCTGAACATGAGTTATTAGTTCCTAACAAAAAATCATGGACTTCCAGGTACAAACCCGCCTGTGATATCGACATCCACGGAGACGGTTGGAGGCACTGAACCCACGGAAGTTGACAAGGATGATGGGATCTGTGGTAACCCAACCCGGTAAACCGTACCGCGGCTGTGTCCCACTACATCCTCTAAGTCCAATTCTATACTTAGCCATATTTTTGAACTTTTTCTTTATTTTTCTAAGTCACTCTTTAACAATACACAGCGGAATATAATAACTCAAAACACTCATTTATTCATCTTTTAAAGCACTAAACAAGATTCGGGGTTCCACATGAATAAAAACACGAGGTTCACTAACGATTACAACCAATCATCTAGCAACCTAACGGTTAAACACCAAAGCCATAAGACCCTAACACAAGTCTTAAATCATAAAACACACAACCCCGATCCATCCATATCCATCACTGCCGCCTGGTCTCGCCCCCTTACTGCTTAGTACCTGCACACTCAAAATGAGAGGCATAAGTATTTCATAAATACTTAGTGAGTACGGTCATCCCGTAACACCTGGTCAGTACCAAAACACGCAGTAAACTTTCGGATTCAACATTCACACAATCAATTCACAATAAACACATCACTATCAAACGGCCCCTGATGATCTAGCCTAACCACCCAAGATCAATCCCTTTTTAAGACCCATGTCTACTTCAGCGAGAATCCCACATCTCCTAAGCTAGTACATGATCCGGATTACCCTGAGGTTAGCTAAACATCATATATGCCTCGGTAAACACCACCTTTTATCAAAACATTCAATCGTTTGTACACTTAAACCACACATCACAAGAAAATCATCAATCAAGCATGCAAAACATTCAATCCTAGTCATGCTACGGTCCTAGACCTAACCCCGGTCACGCACTCACCTTAGACAAGGCTAGAAACAGATTGGTAAGAAGAAATCCCGATGAAAACCGCTCCAAATCAAAGATATCCGACCTCCCTAAGAATCTCTCGGCTCACGGTACGATCCGATCCTTATCCCCTCGGCTATCTCTTGATCCGTTCACCTTTCTTCGAGCCAAACTCTGTTTTCCCTCAGAAACCCCACAAAACAAGGCTATTAGCTCGAGGTTATCCGATGAAATCCTAACACTTAGGGAAATATCCGATCGCTTACCAGTTTATCTCGGCGATGGTCGGATTAGCTCGGCGATAGCTTGATCTCTCTCGGATATCCTCGGGATAAACTGTTTTTCTTAGGGTTTTCTCTCGACTATTCTCTTTCTTTGCTTTATTGCTCTCGAATAAACACAACTCTCCCGAGAAAAGTCTCAAATCCCCTTATATACTCGCAAAACCCTAGGTAACTCGGACTTATCCGACGTTTTCCTGGTTCCAGTAAACTTTATCCCGGTCCGATTCGATTCTATCGGCTATTCCCTGTACCGGCTCGACCCATCCTTCGATAAACCCCAAAATAGCCGACCAAACACTTGGCCCACGGCCCAAATCCCTTCCCACTCGGATAAACCGCCCTTATCCGAGGTGTTTTCCATTTTTCATCCGGATTTTCCTATTCCCTTCGGACATCCTGTCCTTCCTCGGCTAATCCTCTTTTTCCCTCGGAGGTTTCCTATTCTCCCTCAGAGATTTCCTATTCTCCCTCGGAGACAGTCCACTGACACTCGGACTAACCTCCCAGACTCTCGGATATATCCTACTTCACTCGGATAAATCCCATTTTCCCTCGGACTGGACCCCATTTCCCTCGGATATGGTCCATCCGGCTCGGCTATCCAGCCCCTGTCCGACTATTTCACCGGTCCACACCCGACCATAGTCCGAACCTCCCTTTCCCAGCCAATATCCGACCCTTGGCTCGGTCATTTCCTCGGACAACCTCCTGTCCGGTACGATCAGTCCGCATTTTCTCGGATACGGATGCTACAGGATCCAAGAAAAGGATGAAACTACTGTAGAGGATTATTTTGCATTTTGTTATTTAAGTAAGGTCTTCCTGAACATGAGTTAATAGTTCCTAACAAAAAATCATGGACTTACAGGTACAAACCCCGCCTGTGATATCGACATCCACGGAGACGGTTGGAGGCACTGAACCCACGGAAGTTGACAATGATGATGGGAGCCAAGAAAAGGATGAAACTACAGTAAGAAAATGAGGATTATTTTGCGTTTTGATAATTTAGAAGGTCTTCCTGAACATCTGTCAAACCTTTCTAACCCAAAAAAATGTTGTGTGTTCCAGGTACAAACCCCGCCCGTGGATACATCCACGGAGACGATTGCAGGCGCGGGACAAACAGAAGTTGACAATGGTGATGGGATCCAAGAAAAGGATGAAGCTACAATAAAAAAAATCAGTATTCTTTTGCATTTTGATATTTTAGTAAGGTTTTCCTGAACATCTGCCAATTCTTCCAGAAAACTTTTTAACATTCCATAAAAATCTGTATTTTTGCAGAATGTTAAGGGAACACATTCTATGGCTATTGTTTTATGGCAACCATCACCAAGCGGGGCGGGAAATCAGACGGATGAGGTTAGAATTTCTTAAAACAAAACCATTAACCTTTACTTTCTGAAACTTGTATCAATCGTGCGTTGCATGTTTTTGTGGTTGCAGGTTGCTTCGGAGAAGAGGGGATTATCCTTTCAGAAGGATACAGCGTGTGTTGTTACTATGGATACAAGTGCTAACGAAGAGTCTGCTGCTGAACTCCAAAAACATGTGAAGGTTGTGGATATGTTGAGGATTCGTCCTATTGTTGCAAACAGAAAAGCAAAGGAGAAGAGAGTTGATGATGAAGGTGATCGTCCGGCTAAGAGGTTGAAAATGTTTTTAAGGAGGAGCAACCGAGACCCAAAACAAAATAAGAGTACAGAAAGTCCCTTCAAAGCGCCACTAAACGCATCTCTAATCACGACTCCTGAACCAAATCCTATGTTGGATCCGTTTCAATCACCAGGATATGAGCTGCTATCAGCTTATCAAGATTGGGTGGATAATGACGAGACAGTAAGGTTGGTATATAGTATTATAATAAGGTGATATTATATTATAATTTAAATTCTGTGTAAATTGATTGAGTTCACAATGAATGATAAAAACGCAGCATTGGTGAAATCCAAGCTATGGAGCTTGGTTCAGGAGACTAGAGAACCCATCAACTCGTGTTAACGGACAGGTATTATTCTAGTCATATCAACTTTATTTACAGAGGCTTCCTAGACAAAAATAAGTTTGGAAGCCTTTGAATATTCATGTAGGAGGTAGACGCAGCAATGATGCTGTTCAATGCTAAACGAGAGGAGCATGCAGCTTATTTCCACAACAATCGATTCCCAAGGGCTGCTTTCTGCAACTCAATGTTCTTCAGTGAGCTGTTAGATTTCCACAACATTTTCAAGAAACCTCGGTGCAACAAACCTTTCCCTGAAAATGTGATTGAAGTTGTAAAGGGAAACAAGTATCCAAACAAAAACTGGAAGATGGATGTTGATTTCATCTATGGAATGGTTAAACCCAAGGCTTCTCTACACTGGATTGGTTTAGCGATAGATATGAAGAAGAGGCGAGTTGAGTGTTTTAGCTGCAGACATCCAAAAGAGCCAACGACAAGTATTTTACAGATCGTCAATGATATCGCAGGTAAAGTGTTTCACCAAAAATGGTTTTCCGAAGTATTTAAATACTTTCATGAATTTAAGAAATGTATTTTTTTCTGAATTTATCTTGTGATAATTTTGTAGAGATGATCCCTGCACTACTTTGTGTTGCAGAAAACACAAAGCCAATGCAGAATCTCGTTCCATTCCAAGTGGTATATGAGTTTGCGGAAACTGTTGCAAAGTCCAGCACAGTATCCAACTGTGGCATCTTTGTACTCAAGATGATTGAGTGCCACTCTGTGAAGATTGAGGACTTTTCAACAATTTGTGATGAAGTTGTTCAAGATATGATGAGCAATCTGGTTTGGGAAATCTTTGATCATTTTAAGAAAAAGTAGATCTTACATTTTATTTGTTTTTCATTTGAGCAAAGGAAGCAACATCCCGAAATTGTGGTTTACGATGGCTAACCATTAATTGTGTTTCAGATTAATTGTGTTACAGATTTTTTGAAGTTGTGTTATGTTTCTTGAGATTTACTTGCGAGATTTTTACGAATCCTTCACTGTTCTCTAGGCTTTTTACGAATTTCTTCGCATTTTTTTTAGATGACATTAAAGTGTTCAATCAAAGGACGTCGTAACAATGTTTCAATATGCCAAATGAATAAAAACGATTAGAAAAAGCTTCCGGGAAGGTAAGGAAAACTTGATATTATTTTAGGAAGGTTTTCCGGAAAAGAAAGAAAAGAGTAACTATTGTGCTTTGATAAAAAAGTGTTCGTTGTAAACAATTTCACTTCCACAAAAATAATTTAAACATTGCGAAGGTAAATTAGTCTGTTCTTAAGTGTTCAATCAAAGAACGTAACAATGATTCAATATACCAAATGAATAAAAACGATTAGAAAAAGCTTCGGAGAAGGTAAGGAAAACTTGAAAATACTTTAGGAAGATTTTCCGGAAAAGAAAGAAAAAAGTAATTTTTGTGCTTTGATAAAAACATGGAAATTTTCTTAACAATTTCATCTTCGTTAATCATATACTCACGCTAATTGATAAACTCTTTTTCACTTCCAAATTACAAAAACAATTGTAAAAATTTAGAAAGCGGGAGCTAACATTTTTGACAATGTTCTTTCTTACACAGTTATGATCCTATTCCTAACTTATTAAGAACACATCTTAAAAATGTAAAAGTGTGAGAATTTTTTCTTGAATGACAAATTTATCCCAAAATTTGTTTAGCCGTGTGCTAAATAATAAAAAATAAATAGATATTGCATTATATGTCAAAAGTACAACATCCATAGATATTGTCTTGGTACAGAATACATAATAAACACATGTGGTTCAACATCAAGAAGCAAAAAAATAAAAACGTTTGTGGACTACATTAAAAAAGGTCTTTGGTTACTTAAGCATCCCTCATTACTTTAGTTTTCCACTTCCCTTTAATATCCGTAATCTCTTCTGCACCAGACAATCAATGAAAACAATTCTTTTAGTTACATGTTCAGTCAGCGAGAAAGTATATATAGGGAGAAGTGTTTGAAATTTTACACTTTCTTATATCCGAAAACTGCATCATCAATTAGGTTAAACATGAATTCAGAGTATAGAAAATGAGAGCGCATGACAATCTTATTCTCGTCCTTTCCTACAACAAATCAAAGCAATATTTCAAGGCTTCCTAAATGACACTTGGAAAGAGAAAATGATTTTGGAAGATTTTCTAAAAGATTTTATCGTCTTAAAATGTTCAACCAATAAGGCAGAAACTACTCACCTTTACCCTCTGAAATTTTCCAAAAGCTTAGCACGCAAACATCGCTATAAGAAATGTTTGCTATATACGCTTCGTGAAACTCTCTTGCAATGGCTCCAAGAGCTACACAGGTAATCGTAAATTCTGTCTTAAAATTAAAGAACAGAGAGAATATTATCTCATAATAAAACTTCCTAAAAATCATTAACACAGGACATTTGACTTACTTTGCTTCTTCTATTTTTAAACGGAGGTGAGACAAATCTTCTTCAAAAGCATCATTGCTATGATCTTCCAAAACATCCATCCTCACGACAGTCCCCATTACATCTGATTAAGATACATAGAAAAGTTTATATAAAAACAGAGCAGAACAAAAAAACTCTGAAATCGTAAAGTAATTTTTACCAACTAGGCTCCCGATCTTGTACACTCGGCGGTTGATATCCCTAAAACTAGGCCAGTGAAGCAATAGACTATCAGACTGAATCATGTGGTCAGCACTCTTGGCGCCCGTGTTGCCGTGAAAAATTAGATGATAGTTAGATAATGTAGGGCGCACGGCAGCAGAAGCATCCTCCACGTAGAAATTGTAGATGGTGTACCACTGATTTTGTCGAAAGTAGTTGGCAAACTTCAACATATCTACTGGCATTACAGAGGCCAATATGTGCATTCCCTGAAAAAAAACATGACTGATTAGAAAAAACAGTCAAAGTTTATCATCTTCAAAAAATGAAGTAACGGAGAATACCCTGCTCGTCAGAGATTATCATCTCCAAAGTTTCGTCAAGAAAGTTTGGTTGTTTCCAAAGCCTAAGGATCTTAGCGCATATGCTCCAATCACTCTCGTTTGTATGCAAGTCAGATATCGCATCGTGATCAGATGGAGTTCTCATGGACAAGTGATGCAACATTGTGCACTTTTGAAAATGGAAGTTATAGGATGGATTCTTCAAAATCTGAACACAGAGGATGCCTTATATATAGCAAAAGGTTTTTACCAGGAAACAACACGTTGCTACAATTTTAACCGTTTTGAAATGTTACTATGAAACGACACGTCCTACGAAGGGATATGCAGTTATTCTAAATAACCGTTTCGAAAACGAAGGGATATGCAGTTATAATAGAGTTTTCACAGTGTTAGGAAGATATTAGACAAATTTAGGAAGAGGTAACATTAGTTTAGGAACGATTTCGTAAAGACAGATTTACAAAACCACATACGGAGAAAAAAATATTTTAACCATGTATCGACACGATCCCCCTACTTTTACCACGAAATGACACGATCCCCCTATTTGTACCACGAAACGACACGTCCCACTATGCTTATTAACCGTTTCACCGACTTATTAAATTACCTAACGATGCAATTAGGTGTGTTCTCTTTCATATAGAGTTGGAAGCTTTTTTTCGTGGTTTGCTTATCTTAACATAATTTAGGAAGCCATCCTAAAATAAACTTGGGAAAGAGAAAATGATTTAGGAAGCCATCCTAAAAATAAACTTGGGAAACAAAACATGATTTAGGAAGCCTTCCTAGCTTATAACCAGCAAAAATAGAATGATTTGGGAAGCATTCCTAACTTATATCAGCGAAAAGAAATGATTTAGAAAGTCTTCCTAACTGATACCTAGTAAAATAGAATGATTTTGGAAGCCTTCCTAAATTATTTAGGAAGCTTTCGTAGATAAAACCTGGGAAAGAGAAATAATTGAGGAAGACTTCCTAAGTTCTCTATTACGTTGTTAAAATTAGAAAAACTAGGAAAATAGTTGAGAACCCCAATGAAAGAGTCTGGAAAGCTTCCAAACAATAAAAGTTACGAACATAAAATGGCTATGGAAGCTCTTCCAAAAATAACTGGAAAGCCTCCGATAAACAATGTTGAACAAACGAATGTATAATCAATCTATAGTTAGAATGTATAAGAAAGCTTCCACATCTCTTGGACATTCCACGGCGGGAATCATATCTGATTCCTGCATGTGCTCTTGTTGTGTCCTCTTGTGCTACATCTGTTGCACTTGTGTCCTTGAGATTTAGAATTAGGGACCCCAAATTCTCCTGCAGCTCTCTTCCTCTTCTTTGGTGGCCTTCCACTGCTTAGCTTCGTGTTTGGCGGACAACATAGGTAATCATACACACCATCAGGAAAGGAACACGTAGACAGATCACCACACGGATGTATGCTCTCAGCATAAGCTTTAGACCATGTCTCTTTGGTGTAGAAATCATCTACAAGCTTGTAGACATCCTTCCTTGTGCGTTTAGCAGCAGCTACAGCATGCACGCAAGGGATCCTGTCTATGTTGAAGACGTTGCAACTGCAATGCTTATTCTTCAAATGCACAACATACTTGTGAGAGTCATCCTTTACCTCAAACTCGTTCTCATCCACTTGGTAGACATCCAAGACCATTGCTTCATCGTAGAGTTTGGAATTTTTGTCTGTTACATTCTGTGTCGCATACTTGTCAAGCTTATCAGCTTTTATCCTGCGCTCGTGAAACCAGGTAGTAAGGGTAAGCCTTATAGTCTCAAGTAAGGAAATAACAGGCATTTCCCTTGGAGCGTTTAACATAGAATTCAGAGACTCTGCGATGTTTGTGGTCATAATGTTGTATCTATTAGCAGGTGCGTAGGATCTAGACCACTTAACAAAATCTGCAGCCTCCAAGTAGGTGGCAAGGGCCGGGTTCCTGATCTTCAAATCACAGAAAATCTGATTGAACTCGAATTTAGTGTAAGCATCCGCGGCAGCTTCCACCATAGGGATAAGACCTTTCTTCCCATATTTAGCTTTGATGCTCCTCAGAAGATGAACTCTGCATATACCATGATGGGCGAGGGGATATATTACTGACAGAGCTTTAGCAATGGATGGCGCCCTATCAGACACAAACACCAAGTCCTCTGCATCAGGGATCACTGACTTCAATCCTCTAAAAAACCAAGTCCAAGCATCTTCATTTTCGGAATCTACAATCCCAAAAGCTAAAGGATAGAGGTGGAAGTCTCCATCTTGGGCAGAAGCTCCTAGTAGAGTACCCTTGAACTTGCCTTTGAAGAATGTGCCATCTACAGCAATCACTCTCCTCATGTACTCAAATCCTCTCAAGGATTGCCTAAATGCAACAAATGTATATTTGAACTTTCCCGCAGGATCTCTCTCTCTAGGAAACACTTTGAACCTGGATTGGTCTCTTGAACCTTACACAACCACTTAGATAAATTTAGGTAGCTTTCTTCAGGAGTTCCTCTGACCAAATTCTGAGCATGCTCTTTCGTCCTCCAAGCCTTCTTGTAATTAATTTGTGCCCCATGAGTCAATCTTACAAGTTTCATTATATGTTTTGGCTTAAGACCATCTTTCTTCTCTGAGTAAACACTGCATATCAAAGAACCAAGAATTTTCGAGGTTGCTTGCCTGTGGTTGGAGTTTCTATATGTTGTATCACAGCTATGTATCTCAACAAAGTGCTTCACCACAAAAAGTTGAAATCAACAAGCTTGGTTGCCCTCATCTGCCAACTGCATTTCTCATCCACACAGCGTAATATAGCCCTAGACTTGTCTGAATAACGAGTTCTGAATTCAAATTTCCTGTCAAGTGCATACTTCCTCATCTTCTGCATTAACTCTTCTTTACTCTTGAAATACTGGTTCACACGAATATCGTTGCTTCCTGCAGTCGAAGCTGGTAGTCCTATAGGAACTGGAGGAAGATCTACAGCAGGAAGCAAACCACTAAAATAGTTTCCTTTTTCAGCAGTAGAGCATGTCTCCTCAGTAGCTTCGATGACTGAAATGTTGCTCTCAACTGGTTCAGTTTGATTGTACGTGGTAGTTGAATGACTGTTTATTCCACTAGCCTAAAGACAAATGTTATATTAGTTAGAATTAGAAAAGAAAATGAAAGAAAAGTCATATTTAGGAAGCGCTTCCACATTAGGAATCAAGTTAAAGCTGTTTTAGGAATACATTCCAGAAATGTTTCCTTAAAAAATCACGAAAACTGAGGCAATTTATAAGCGATAGGATACCTGAGCGGTTTGGGTGTACGTGGTACTTGAATGATTGTTGCTACTACTAGCCTGAAAACAAAAGCAGCACGAGTATTTAGGAAGGGACTTCTCTCATTTGGAAGCTATTCCTAAACTCATGGTAACTGGAAATCGAGAAATAGAGAGGGTACCTGTTCATTTTGGTCCTGTTTGCTAATCAAAATATTAGTGCAGACAGTAGCTTACAAGCCAATTTAGGAAGGCTTCCTAAAATGAAACTTGTAAAGAGTAAATGATTTAGGAAGGCTTCGTAAATGAATAGAGAGGGTACCTGTTCATTTTCGTCATGTTTGCTACTTGAAATATTATTGCAGACAGTAGCCTAAGAAAATTTTCAGCAATTAGAATTAGAGAAGAATAAAACACAAATGATTGAAAAAATTGACGAACAACATTAAATTTGTTTCACTAATTACCCATACAATGTTACCTGTTGTGTTAAATTCTCAATCGTTGCAAACAAACAAAGAATTCCAGCAGCTTCTTTCATCTTTATGAAGAAGCCTTTTACTTGGCGATCATTTCTGATTTGAAAGGGAATATCATATCCTAAACTTCCTGTCATAAGGGGATCTCTTTAGGTGAGAGTGATTACAATATCATCCATTCCCAAATCAGCCTTCACAACCCTTACAAGGTCTTCACTGTGATATCTTCATCAACAACAGAGAATGAACCTCTTCTGGTTAAATCTACTTCAAATTCCCACTGATGATTCTCTTTGAATTTCCAGTCGCCACAAATAACATATACACCAACTATATTTCTGTGAATTACAAAAACAAAAACACAGTTAAGAAGAAGAACAGAGAAATATACTAAATGAAGCAACCACAAAGAAGTATATGATCTTGAGTCGATGAACAAGAAGCTTTGAAAACAACATTATTCCTGACTAAAGAAAGTAAACATTAGGGCATCATGCTCGTCCTAAAGATGGTCGATAATTGAGGAATCATAATCTAACAATTTATCCATAATCTACTTTGATGTTAGTTATGAAGACATTCCTAGAACAGATAAATGTATTCCTAAGACTAATCATGAGCTACGACTCTCTATATGGACTACGAGTAATCATCCAGTGAACAACTCAATATTCGTGTATGTTATACTAAAGCAACAATCCAAATATATGCATACAAGCCGATTCAAGAACAGTTGCGAACATTTAGGAAGGCTTCCTAAATGAAACTTCCAAAGAGTAAATGATTTAGGAAGGCTTCGTAAATGAATATTCAAAAGTTGTTTTCGATTCAAGAACATTTACGAACATTTAGGAAGGTATTCCTGTACCTTCCTGGAATGATCGAATATGTCGTCGTCATCGATGGATTCCGAACTTCCTCGGCGGTGAAGCTCTAAGGTCGTCTACTGTAGCCAGAGATGAATCGCGAAACTATCGTCGTCGTCACTTGTGGGCAATTGACGCCGGTGAAGCTGGGAAATGAATCGCGAAACTATCTCTAGTTGTTGAGGCTGGGCAATCAACCTTGCCGATGATCAAATTTCAATTGTAGATCAAAACTCTCGTGAATTCAAGCTTGGTGATGAATCGCGAGTCCTCGTCTTCTTCAATCACTGGAGATCGTCACCGGAAACGTCGTCGCCGGAGAAGATCGTAACTCTCACGAATTCAAGCTTGGTGATGAATCGCGAGTCCTCGTCTTCTTCAATCGTCGGAGATCGTCGCCGGAAATGAGTCGAGGAAACTCTCTTCGTCGTCGCCAGAGACGATCGAAACTCTCTTCGTCGTCGTCGAAGAAGATCGAAACTCTATTCGTCGTCGCAAATTCAAAAAGTTGTTAATTCAAAAAAAAATACAGAGCATTTGTTGTCAAAGAAGGGTAATTTCATCAATCTGAACTATAAAATGTTATGTGACGGAAATTCTATAACGTGTTGTGTATATGTGGAAAATACACTTTGATTGGGTGTATCTAAAGGAATTTCTCTTAAAATATTAATAACTGAATTAATTAGAAAAGAGTTAGTTTTTAATGTAATTATTTTTCTAATCTGTAATACATACACATACAAGTCTAAAATTGTTGCAATACTCAATTTATAGATATAATATTATCGTTTCAAAAATATTTATTTATATTTATTTAAATAATAAAATATGATTAATTATATTATTAAATAATATAAAATATTGAGGAGAATATTGAATCCATAAATAATATATATTTTTAATGTTTTTTTTTTTGTACTTTTATAAATAAAATTGCAATTCTATAGATTTTACTTTTTTGCGCTATTATACAATTTTTTTTTATTAGTAAAATACTTACGGAGTAACATTTGAAATGCGATTCCACCATTTTGTATTATTACCAATTAAGATTTGTAAGCATATCATATTTGCAAGTTCTAAGTTCCTATTTATGTTCTACCTGGTGAAGTTAAGCCTTACGGAAGAATATGCAAAGAAACACTAATAGTACTATGAACCTCTTGATATATGCAAATATACTTCATTTATAATTTAATATTTTAATATACATATAAACATAAGCTAAGTTGATAATGGTTAGAAGTTAAGAATCTTCTTTTGATATAAGTAGAGAGATTCCTTAAAATCTATGAAGTAGAAGATGACTACCTGCACCTTGTGGAAAAATATTTTGAAATGATTTAAATTATTGAGTGGATTTTATTGTCGTTAAAGAATTTTTTGATAAATATATTTTATTATTATAAATTATGTTATGTTAAAAAAAAATATCAACAAACCCCAATAAAATTATGGTGATAATAATATTTGTCTTAGAATTTATATGTTTTTTAAAATATATATTTATGCTTAGATTTTGCAAACATGTTTAGCTGAGATTTTGTGAATATTTTTTTTTTCAACCATAATTCTCATAATCAAGTTCTTGCTTTTAAAAAAATAAATAAATCAGTATTAAAGAAAAGATATATGTTAATTTTTCAGATGACACATCAAATAACTGGTTTCGAAAAAAACATTATTATATTATGTATGTTACCTCTCAAACCCATTTTGCCTTTACACAAAGGGAAAGAAAGATACCAAGACTTTCCCCACGAACTAAGGTTAAGTACCCAATCCTTCAATTCCATTATCTCCTCTCTCTCTCTCAAATCTCACCACAAACCAAACCAAAAAGTCAAGAACTTGGTCCCAGCCCGTATGCTGTCTCAAAAATCACTAACCAAAACCCGAGTTCGAGAGCCACATAATATATAATGCCCAGGTTCACCTCTCGTAATAATGGTACCAGTCCTTTCATCTGGTGTGCAGCCATCATCTGCGCCATTATCTCCATTGTTGTGATTTTTGGTGGCATTGTTGTTTTTGTTGGTTACATAATCATTCACCCGCGAGTTCCCGTCATTAGCGTCGCTGGTGCTCACCTCGATTTCTTAAAGTACGGTTTCAACGACTCTTCTTCCTTCTCTTTTCTTTTGATCTTATCATTAATTTTATTTAGTTTTATTGACCAGATATGATATAGTTGGAGTCATGCAGACGCAGATAACGATTGTGATTCGCTCAGAGAATGATAATGCTAAGGCTCACGCGTTGTTTGATGAAACCGAGTTTGCGCTAAGCTATGAAGGCAAAACGATTGCATATTTAAGACAGAGCGAGTTTGAAGTTGGTAAAGAGAGATCAGTTGATTATCATTACGTGGTTCAGTCGTATCCGATACCATTGAGTCCAACAATGATGGAAGCCATAGACTTTGCAGTTAAAAAAGATGTGATTACGTTCGAGCTTAAAGGTGGGTCAAAGACTAGATGGCGAGTCGGGCCATTAGGATCAGTCAAGTTCGAGTGTAACCTTAGCTGCGAGCTTAGGTTTAGACCGTCTGATCATAGTTACATCCCATCTCCTTGTACTTCTTCTCATAAGCATTAGGGACTCTTTGTCTCTCATTTGATTTTTCTTTTAACTTAGATATATTTTTGGGGTTGGTCTACTAAAATAATTGTAATATATAATTCATAATACTAAAACTTAAAGTTACTTTTCCGAAACTTCTTTCTGCGTGGAAGGATAATCACTTGCGTCACGGCACTTACCAACCACCCTTTTTGTGTATTTGGAATATAAAATATATAAAATTATAAAATATAAAAATAAATTAATAATAATATAATTTTAATATAATATATTTATTTTATTATTATCTTTATTTTTAAATTTATTTGTATGATTTTATAGTTATTTTTATTTTTGTAATTAAAATTATTTTATTATTAATTTTATTGTCTTAAAATATATTAAATATATTATAAAATTATTAACATGTGCTAATTGTTTAAAAACTTCATCCATATTTATACACTTTTACAAATATTTAAGTTTTCACTTTATATATTTTTATTCAATTAATTTCTACTTTTTCTTACATTATTTATGTTTTGGTGAAATAAACAATCTCAGTACTTTAAATTGAATAATTTCTTCAGTTTTCATAAATTTTGAAATTTTTTAACTTATTCTGAAGCACAAATTGCCACGCTTTTATTATTTTTGTTCCTTCGTATAAATCAAGTTCAAGTTATGCTAAATAATTACACTTTTGTCTTCTTTATTCATATTAAATTTTTATTTATTTTCACAATAAAATTTTAGGTTTGATAACTATCTTTCGTAAGTTCTTATGTCATGTTTTGTATTTGTTCGCCTTCTAACTTTTTTTTATATATTTGTTTTGTTTTTTTATTTTAAATAATATTTTCACTTTTTTATTTCATAGATCTTTTTAGTTTTTATGATTTGTAAAATAAATATTTATTTTTTTTTACTTTGAAATTTATAAAAGCCCAAAAATACGTACCTAGAATATATAGAAGATGATTAAAAAAAGATCACAATATGTAAAAGCCCATAAAAAAAAGATAATACTTACCGAGCTGGATAGTTTTATTAGAGAAAAACTTTTTATAACTCATTATCAAACACAATAGCCCTAAGTTTTGTTTGTAGAATCACAGATCCTAACAATGTTGTAAGATTCAATAACAAGACACAAGACTTAGCAAATACAATAACTTTGTATTAAGAATCACTTAAACAATCTCAATAGACTTATTTAATCAGTATTACACAATGTTATACAATCCTTAAAAACTTGTAACTTGACTTTGACCAATTCCTAAGCAACAACAACTATGTTTGCTCTTCGAACTCCTAAAACAACTCTTTTAATGTTAAGAGATTCTACACTGTTTGTGCTAGCATACTGCTAGTTTATTCCAGTAATCATCATTGAATCAAGATCAATCAAGGAACCTTCGAGCAGAAGTTACTTCCTACCGAGTAACTACTTGGGCATATATGAATGGGGGTGGGGGAGGGGGGTGGGTGGGTACTACTCAATGTCTCGATTCTGGTTTACTTAATCTGGTTTAGTCCAAACACAATACAAACCAAACAGAACCCGTTCGGAACAATACCAGAACATTATCTAGGCCCGCCGAACGTGTTTGGTTCCGTTCAAGAACCAAGAATGACTATCAACACTTTCAAAAATTAACAAACATAGGGGTCATAATTTTTTTCCTTTTTAAAGCCCAAAAAGGAACCGTACAAGACACTCACAAAAAAAAAAAAAAATTCATTTTTTACTTTTCAAATATTCGAACGTGTTTGATTTTTGACCGATCATGACGATCGGCGATCAAGTGGGATCGTATGAACACTGTCGTCATTGATCATAGTTGTTTTTGGTCATGCCATGATCGATTCAAATTGTTTCAGTAACTCAACACTTTCAAAATTAACAAGGGAAAAAACCTTTAAAATACATGAACTAATTTACATTTGTTAAGTAAATACACCAATTATTTAGGCATTCAACAAAAAACTTAATTTATTTTCGTTTGCCAGATTAATACACAAACATTTAAAATTTGACAGTTTGACATTCTGATTTTAACGCTGTTAACTCGGTAAACGGAAAATTAAACGATGTTTAGTTTTTTTAACAGCAGCTGAATTTAATTAAATCCAAAATTACACAAAGGGCCCAAAATCGATTTGCCTTACATTTATTTTCCTCCAAATTGATTTTGTTTCTTCTCTTTTGTTTCTTCTCTTCTTCTATTTTTTTTTTAATCTTTTATCTCTCAATTCTTCAATTCAACCGAGATTATCATCGCGGCGTCGATAGCCGCCGTGCAAAAAGTAGGGACTTAAGGCCACGAGCTCCAATAACGCTGGTGGTGGTTATAAACGGTGGAAACTCGAAGAGATGAAGAAACTGCCGCTACCGCCGTCGTTCTCTTCGACAAATACGAGAAGTAACGAGGGAATTCGCGGCGGAGAGGAATCGATGAGATCTGGATGGCGAGCACTCCAGCTTTCACTCTTAGACCATCGGAAAAAATGCAATCATCAACGGCATGATTTTAACTTTGGCTCTCAGTGTTCTCTCTCTTATTCATTATATTTGTATATGTATATATTCCTCCTCATGGGATTTATTTGGTTTTTCACATAATGATTTGACTTTCTGAAATTATGCAAAGCAAGACTTTTTTAATAAATCCAAAGAGTATCTTCGTTAATGGATGCGGAAGTTCATGTTGAAAGGCAAATACATAATTTTTAACAGGCAATGAAGTTTTATAAAAAATTCAAAGCTGTGAACTGAGGAAGGAACTGAGAGAGAAGAGAAGAGATAAAAGAAAATAGAAAAAGAGAAGAGACGAAATCCATTTGGGGAAAAACAAATGTAGAGCAAATTGTTATGGGGTTTTTGTGTAATTTTGGATTAATTAAACCCAGCTGCTGTTAAAAAACTAAACATGCTGTTCTGTTTTCGTTTACCGAGCTAACGACGTTAAAATCAAAATGTCAAACTATTAAATTTTGAAAGTTTGTGTATTAATTTGGCAACTAAAAATAAATTGGGTTTTTTGCTGAGAGCCTAAATACTTGGTGTATTTACTAAGCAAATGTAAATTAGGTCATGTATTTTTAAGGTTTTTTCCCAATTAACAAACCACGGAATAATATTTCTTTTCCTTTTTAAAGCAGCAAATTTTCATTAAACAAACACTATCTCAACACTTTCAACAACTAACAAACCAAGCGGTCATAATTTATTTCCTTTTTAAACCCCGTGAAGTCAACGATCATGACTATCTTCTATCAGTTGAGATCATTCGAATTATTCCAATAACGTATATAACTGTTTTAGATTGGGAAGTGAACCGATATTATAGTTTGGTCCGAACGAAACACAAATTATACCAAACTCATTCGGTAATAACCTAGAACGTACGTTATCTAAGTACGTCGAACATGTTCGTTTCCGTTCAAGAACCAAGAAAACAAAACTCAACACTTACAAAAATTAACTGTTAGTGTGGGTTTAGCACCCTTACTAAAAGTCCTTCATAAATTAAGAAAATGTTCATTTGAAGTCATACCTCCACTTCTGGAGTTAGGTCGGTTCTGAAATATGGAAATATTCCGAGATTCATTCAAATTGCGGAAGAAACGGAAATTATATCCCGAGAAGAAAGGAAGTTATCCTAATCCTGAAGGAGAAGAATTCGACTCAAGGCGGTCCATGACATCTATATAAGGAGAGCCCCCTCCTTTGAAGAGCATTCATTCACAACTTTGGACTCGAGACCTAGGGCAAACAATAGCTTACTGCTTTCAGCTTTAGATCTCGGTTCTTTTCTCTTAAAGTCTTAGGTCAGCACTCTTTTCCGACGACTTAAACTTTTGTACTCTTTGAGCTCCAGCTAAATCAATAAAAACTATATCTTTTACCCCCACAATCTTTATATTTTCTTTAAGGAAGATATCCAGTCTTACATTAACAAACCACAAGATCATAATTTCTTTGATTTTGTAACCCTAAAAACCAAGAATATAAAACTCAACAATTTCAAAAATAAAAAAACCATGTGATCATAAGTTATTTTCTTTTAAAACCCAAAGGAAGTATCATGGGTAGAGCATACTACTAGTTTGCTCCAATAATCATCATTGAATCAATGTCTTGATTCAGGTTTACTTAATCCGATGTTCTGGTTTAGTCTGAACACAATACTAAGCAAAGGTAACCCATTCGGAAACATAACAGAACATTATCTAACCCAGTCGAATGTGTTCGGTTCCGTTCACAAACTAAGAATGATTATCTGATGAAGGAGTTTACTCTACTTCAATTCCTACATATACTCATATCATTGTAGTATATAGGTGTCAATCCATAATAGGCAATGTAAGACAATATGAATGCAATAGATCAATTACTTCAAGCCAACAAGATGAGTAATAGAACTTAGAATTCTATCAAGTGATTAAAACTTCAAACAAGCAAAAGCAAACTAAATAAGACTAATCAAGACAGCAAATTCGAAATTCAGATAACTAAAAGCAAGGATTCTAGATGTGGTTATGGAGTTTGGGAAATTCAAACACAAGATTAAGCTGTTATCAATCTCATTAACAATGCAAACAAGCAAGTAATGCTAACTCCTAGGCATATAATTCAACAATCAAGCAAGCTAAACCCAATTTTTTGGGGATTAACACTTTGCTAAAACATCCTAACAAGAACTAACTTTCATTAGTGCTAAGATCAATAGCAAGCAAGCTAAACCAAATCTATTCAAGCCAAAATACTTCTTAGACAGTCAATTTCTTGAGCTAAGACAAGTAAATCATCTAAAAGACAAGATCATCATTTCATCAAACACTTAGTGGGCATAAGAGAAAGCCTAAATCAAGATTCATGTGATCAAGACAAATCTAGCCAAAAAACAGTCTAATAGAGAGGAATCAATGTTATTAAGCACTAACAAACACTAATCAAGCCATAAATTCCCCTAATCTACCACATATAAGAACCTATAAAGGTCTACTCACTAATCATGGTGAAAACCATCAAATCCATAATAGTTATTCATGATTAGGAAAACAAAAGTGGTGAAAACCATCAAATCCATAAAGTAAAGATAGTTAATCATGATTAGGGAAACAGAAGGAGAAGATAAATGCAAACTTATATTGAAATCAAACAAAGATTCAAGCTGCAAACGTGATTAAGAACAAAAGAGGAAAAGAAACTAATGGATAAAGAGATGATCCCAAAAATTAGATATTTTAGTATTTGTAGGAATCCTAGCGGAATGGCAAAATTGTAAATAAATAAACTTCGGGCGAGGCGGATGTCGGGCTAGTGTGGTCGACATAGAGCTCGACATGAAGTGTCGGGTGGTTGATGTCGGGCTGGCCTTGGTCGACATGGAGCTTGACATAAAGTCTCGGGTGTCTCGGCTCAGTGATGTCAGGCGACATGGTGGTCGAGACCAGCTGAGCGGTTTCACAAAAAATTCTGTAACATTCTAACCGTTGATGGGAATGACCTGAAACCAACTCCAGACACAAGCTAATTTACGGAGATACAACATTGATGAAGACTACTGAAGCTGAATCGGAAAGAAGATGCTTTGTCCGAACCGGTTTTTCAGGCACAGTTTCTGCCGCTTCAACAAGGTACACTTTCTGCTTTGGCCCTTTTCAGGCTTTGTGTTGCATCCTCCCATGCTCCTTGTAATATCCAAACTCTCCAAATGTACCTGCCAAACTCTCGAAATGCACAAAACATGCAATGCATATCCTAAATCTACACTAAGTCCTAATTGAATGTAAATGAGACAAGAACAAGCAAAAATGCATACTTAGAGACTATAAAAACAATGCAAAATGTATGCTAACATAGTATAAATAATGCGTATATCACTATCAACACTTTCAAAAATTAACAAACCAAGGGTCATAATTTCTTTCCTTTTAAAACCTCAAAAAGGAACAGTGAGCAAGGCACTAAAAAAAAAAATTCATTCTTTACTTTTCGGATATCCGAACGTGTTTGATTCTTGACTGATCAGCAATCAAGTGAGTTCGTATGATAGAAATTTCGAACATAAAACACTGAGAGAGCAAATTTTCAATATCATGATTTGGGTTTATTTAATCTGATGTTCTGGTTTAGTCGGAACAAAGCTGGGTTAGATAATGTGTTCGTAACGATACACAAACGAATTCTGAAAAGAAAGAAACCGTTGTAAATGGGTTAAACCGTTTTAGATGGGTCAGACCCGGACCCGACCCTAACTCGAACCGAAACTCTATCGATTCCTTAGTTGAAATGGTCTAGAACATATAGTTTCGTTTTAGATGGGAACCAAATTGTTTTAAAGGATCCATAATTCTCTTGGATGGGTTTAGAATCGATTCTGATTTGGGAATTGCTTATGAAGATAGTCGGAAGGAAACTGAACGAATTCGTACAAAAATGGCGGAACCCAAAAAGGACTCGTGATCGTATGAAGATAGTCGGAACGAAAATGAACACGTTCAGGTTATGAGATACAAGGGTCGCGATTCTGGGATTTGGATCGATCCTGGTTTGCCCGAAAAAGCTATTGGTACTTAAAAACTACTCGACCCTGGTTAAACCCGTCAATCTCATCTCGCCTTAGTCTATGTAGTGCAACGACATCAAACTAGACGACTTCGCTTATTCTCCTACATTTGCAGATATTTCCGACCACGTCTACGATATCATGCCGTCAGTTCTTTGTCCTTTAACTTTTTTTCTTTTTTATAAAATTTCGTCGCTTTTGTTTGGTGTATTGTTTGGTAAAATTAGAATTAGAGGCTAAAATCATAATTTTCTTCTTTAAAGAAATTTGGGTTTCTCAGACCAAACGTATGAAATTGTCACAATTTGAGCTCGAAAATGCCACAGTTTTGAGCTTTTGTGGTTTAGGGTTTGTTTGTTTGCGTTTTGTTTGGTTGTGTTGCTGTTCTGGTTTGAGGGTTTTTATTGCAGGAAGGATATGGGCAGGTTACGGCATACTGGAATTTCGATTGTCCAAGGATAAGAGAAGCATTTTTTCTGAGATCAGACGAAATCCACCAGAGCCAAAGCGTACCATTGACTTGTTGGGGTTGCTTACTCAAAGATTTGGGAGTAGAGCTGGTGATATGAAGGTAAATATTTTTGAAATGGCTATGATGTAGTCATTTAATATTCTGTTTTCATTTGACTTTTGTTTGGACAGCTAGAGACCTTGGCTGCCTACTTTGGACTTGGTAACCAGACACATGTACGGTAACATGCGAGCTTCTGCATTTCAGTGTTTTTATTGGCTAGTTGAGTTCTAATATGTGAGCTTTAGGAGTCTGGATTATGTCAAGATGAGTGTCGAGGTTCTCAAGTAATGTGCCACTGTCTTGTTCTTGGTATGGTCTCTTTATCTCTTCAAGTTTGACTAACTTATGCTTTGTCCTAATTGCACTATTGCACGATTTTCAGAATATATTTTAATGATGTAACTAATTCAGAAACATGCTGTGTTTAAACAGGAGTCAAGTCATTTAAATGAACTTGTAGAGAACTCGATTACTACTTCAGAAACAAGTTCAAGAAGGCGTAGGAATATCAGCACATCTCCTCTGCAATCTTTTGCTTATCGGAAGACCGGAGAGAACAGTACATCTAAACGTCTTTTATCATTTGTTTCACTTAAAGAAGCTCAAATGAATCTATTTGATATGAGAACTTTGAGGAACGAAATTGCCCCAAAGGTAGTTCAATCAGATTACCAGTCTGAGACTGTCGCCTCTGAAGGATTCTTGGATATTGACGAAATATCAATTCCAAGTATCAGAGCAACTCATGTCCCGCTATATGACGAAAGAAAAATAATGAAACTACAACTCTTCCTTGGAGACAGACCTCTTCGTCTCCATTGTCCTTGTCTGGTGGTACGGTTTGGGATCAATGGGAAATTTCGGATAATGTTGGGAGACCGAAGTTGAACTTTGTAGTTTATTTGTATTCTAGTCTCTGTAATGTATTGCGAGAATGCGACAAGGCTGCAAAAACAACATCTATTGATTCAGGCAGCAGTTCTGACTGAAACCCAATAGTCATTCCAATAGATAGATTTTCGAACTCTCCTACCGCAAGAACTCAATAAGTTTGTGTACATCTCTTTCTGCTTAGGAACCATGTTTGTTTAGCTTTTCCTGATTGTTTTGTGCAATATAGCGACATACTTTTATGAAGATGTAGACCGGTATGCAGTTGAGATACATCAGGGAGAGTTCTCTGGAGTTACTCAGAGACTCATTTCGAGGAACCCAAACACTGATGAGCTTAAAGCCATGGTATCCAAAGGAACTGTTCTCGAGGCCTTCCTGTCTATAGAACCTTATGATTATCAGCAGAGAGCTGGAATCCGTCTAGTTCGTAGAAAGCTTGTTATACACTAAAAGCTTGAAGAAAGAATCGTCAAGATTTAGGTAGTGTCCTTTTCTGACTTTACTTGTTGCTTATGTTCTGTTTTTAGAACAATTTGTGAGATATTTGCTCTGTTTCTCGGGTTTATGAAGATTTCTCAGGTATAAGAAGCTTCTGGTCTGTTTTAGAGCTATGGTTCTATGAGTTTGATTCTCCTGCCTCTTTTAATCAGTTTACAAGTTCTAGACTATAAAATGAGTCTTACAAGTTTTAGATAGATTTGTTACAAGTTTCTTCTTTTTTTCTAAAGAACATCAAAGAGGAATGTACGATGGACCTATTGGGTTCTTTGATGGTGTAGAGAGTGAATTTTCTGCAGCCATAGGATCCACCTTAGTAGAAATGCTTTGAGGAAGCAATCCATCCGTGGAGCTTACCCGAAATCTCTTGAGCTTTTTCTTCAAAGCTCTCGAGCAAGCAGCCGAAAGAGAGAAAGAGCGATTGGAAATGAAAGAATCTAGAGGAGGAAAAAGAAACCCTGAAAGCAAAGAAAATGAAGCGGGAATGCGAAAAGACACGTATCCATAGAGACCAAAGTGATCATATAAAACTGGAATGAAGAATCATCATTTGACAAAGAAGGAAACGAAAATGATCAACATTTCACCATATGGTAAGAATCTCAGAACAAATTCTAGTTATCAGAATAATATGCTCATATTGTGTGGCTACACCACCATCAACTGTTAGAATTGTTCATTTGTCTGGCCATGTTACACATTCCGTGGTTCCAAATTCCTATAGTCAAAATCGGTTCTGCAACGCAGTTGCATCCATCAACTTGTTATTTTATTATTATACAGTATAAAATCGCAAGCGAATCAATAAATGTTTTTCTTGGAAAAAAAAACATTTCATAATATCTTCTTATCGAGACATCTGACTATTGGACTAACCCCATCGGCCCAATGGAATAAACAATATTTGTGATAAATTATAATTAGCTGTTAAAATTAACATTGGCTTACACGAAAATTGACATAAATACTTTAATGTTTATTTTTTTTTGTCACTAAAAAGAAACATTGAAAAGGCAGAGCATACCTTACCCAAAAAGAAGGCAGAATTTTAAATTATTATAAAAAGGAGTAAAGAAAAGGAAAAGTGGGGGTCTCCAAATTGTTTCGAGATTATTTATACTTCTGCTTGGGTTCTATCAAAAGTCTTTTTTTTTTTTTTTGAAACAGAATCAAACCCTAAGTTCCCGGAAATGGATTATTTATTACGGTTTCTTCTTGTGCATTCTGGTTTTTTTGTGCTTTTTGGGTTCTGCTAGTTTATTTGGTTCTAGATTTCTGGTCCTTTTAGCGTTGAGCTTAACCTGCTGCCAATAAAATCTCTCTCTCCAGCGAATTTTCCGACGATACCGGCAAACTCTCCGGCGGCGTATCCAGGTTGAACTCCTGCTGAGTATTCTGCGGCCACAGACTCTAATCTCCAGCTAACCTGATTTTGGTTTTGGAAATGGAATTTCAGGCACTCCGACGACGACGGACTGCTCAGAAACGTCTACGGTGACGGACTGCTCAGAAGCGTCGGACTGCTCAAGTTTCTGGTAACCAGGATTTTGCATTATCTGAAATATCCGACTCACAAACATATATGGCCTAATACTTAAAATATTCGAATTAGTCGATCATAGTACTCAAATTTCAAAACACTACTTAAATAAATAAAATTTGGATAATGGACAAGCAATCTGTGACTGAGTAGTAAACACTGTATATTAGTCATGTATCCGAGAGTCTTAGTTTTCCTTTCACCATCATCTTTACGACTAAATATGGGCTCTTTAGTCGATTATCCATCTAAACCAAATTAATATCGGACCACTCAGAGTTCAGACCCCTAAAAGTGTATCAAGTAAAAATGGAACCATCTCAAGTAGATGAAACTGATATTAGATGCGTAATAGTAGCAGGTTTAATATTGACTATTACTTTTTCTCACAACATGAAGAGTGGAAAGTACCGAAATTTTTGATTATTTGTTTTCTCTCTACTGTGTTATGTACATCTACAATCAATTTCTCAACCCCGTAAGGAAACAAACTGAATGAAAAATTGTACATAAGAAAGAAAGAAAACTGCATTAACCCCACTAAAGTCTTTAGTATCAGTATGTTTGCTGTAGAGTTAGTTGACACTGTTGACCCCGTTATTTCTTTTGGGTTTTAAAAAAAAAAATTATGATCATGTGGTTTGTTTGTTAATTTTTTAAAGTGCTGAGTTTTATATTTTTGGTTTTGGGGGTTTAAAAATGAAAGAAATTATGATCCCGTGGTTTGTTAATTTTTGAAAATGTTGAGTTTTGTTTTTTCGTTTCTTGAACGGAAACGAACACGTTTGGCGTACTTAGATAACATTCTGGGTTAGTACTGAATGGGTTCGGTAGAGTTTGGGTTACGTTCGGACCAAACTATAACATCGGTTCTTTTCCTGATCTAAAACAGTCATATACGTTACTGAAACAGTTCAAATGATTTCAACTGATAGAAGATAGTCATGATCGTTGATTTCATGGCGTTTAAAAAGGAAAGAAATTATGACCGCTTGGTTTGTTAGTTGTTGAAAGTGTTGAAATAGTGTTTGCTTAATGAAAATATGCTGTTTTAAAAAGGTAAATTATTATACGTGGTTTGTTAATTTTTGAAAGTGTTGAGTCACTGAAACAATTCGAATCGATCATGGCACGACCAGAAATAATTATGATCGATGACGACAGTGTTTTTTACGATCTCACTTGATCTCCGATCGTCATGATCAGTCAAAAATCAAACACGTTCGAATATTTGAGAAATAAGAAAATGATTTTTTTTTTGTTAGTGCCTTGTACGGTTCCTTTTGGGGCTTTAAAAAGGAAAGAAATTACGACCACTTGGTTTGTTAATTTTGGAAAGTGTTGATGGTCATTTTTGGTTTTTTGAACGGAACAGAACACGTTCGGCAGGGTTAGATAATGTTCTAGTATTGTTCCAAACGGGTTCTGTTTGGTTCGTATTGCGTTCAGACTAAACCAGAATATCGGATTAAGTAAACCCGAATCAAGACATTGACTAGTACCCACCCCCAATCATATATGCCCAAGTAGTTATTCGGTAGGAAGTAACTTCTGCTCGAAGGTTCCTTGGTTGATCTTGATTCAATGATGATTACTGGAGAAAACTAGCAGTATGCTTTACCTGTGATAGTTCCTTTGGGTTTTAAAATGAAAGAGATTATGATTATGTGGTTTGTTAATTTTTGAAAGTGTTAAGAGTTTTATATTCTTGGTTTTTGGGGTTTAAAAAGCAAAGAAAATATGATTTCGTGGTTCGTTCATTTTTAAAAGTGTTGAGTTTTGTTTTCTCGGTTCTTGAATGGAAATGAACACGTTAGACGTACATAGATAATGTTTTGGGTTAATACGGAATGAGTTCGATATATTTTGTGTTATGTTCGGACCAAACTATAACATTGGTTCCCTTCCCGATCTAAAACAGTTATATACGTAACTGAAACAATTCAATTTCAACTATAGAAGATAGTCATGATCGCTGATTTCACGGGGTTTAAAAATGAAAAAAATTATGACCGCTTGATTTATTAGTTGTTGAAAGTGTTGAGATAATATTTGTTTACACAAATATAACATACATAAGATCATAGCGTGGAATAAACACACTATACAACATTAAAGAAACAAACATACAATACACTAGAAAACAGATTAACAGTACATTATAAGACATAGTGATTATACTTCAATATCAAGCTTTCAAATGATTCTTCATGTTTCTTCTCTTACACGCCTGCAAGCTCTTTTTTGCTTCTTCACGCTGCTTCAACCAAAATCAAAAATTCTTCTACTCTATGATATCCCCAACACTATCTAAATGAAGATTCTTCCAAAACTATTTTTCAAGAGTTTTCTTCTTTTGTTGACATCAATCAGCTTTTAGTCGCAGAATCTCCTTCGCTGTCCTAAACCAAAAATATGGCATTTGTTCCTATGGGAATCACACAATGAATTTATAATTTAATCAATCTTAATCTCTCACAGTGACACTTAACTCATAAAATAGAGTGGCAATTTTAGTGTGGTTTTTTGTGATTTTACCTGAGTGATACACAAATCCAGGTCTCTATTGTAGAAGTTGATGTATTTCAGCATAAACATTCTACAATCAAATATGCAAAATGGAGAGCCAAAGTTACTATGGATGGAACTTAGTATATTAGCTGACATGAGTTTTGGCATCTTATTAGGGTAAAGTTACCCATTTTTCTGCTCGGGAAGGCTCTGGACAATTTCTTGTTTCCACTGACTTACATTAACTTCTACTTTATTCTTGTCCATAACTTCATCCACAAAGTATTTAGCCCTGATAAATGGAAAACACCATAATCAGGCTCCATGTTATGACACTAAAATTGATTTACTTCTCAAATACTACCAGTGCATCGAGGATTTTAGGCTCGCTTCCTTTCAATGAGTCGAGATATTGAAATTTCTTGTCATTTACATTAATAACAGCCAACATCCAATGGTTGTCCATAAGAATAAGGATAAATATCTGAAAACAAACAAAGTCTCTTAGATAGATGATAATATGAAAAATGAGTTTAATATCTCTAAATAGAATGTAATAAACTTTGTGGAATGGTGGAATGACGGAAAAATGCGATTTCACAAGAATTTTACCAATAAAAAAAACTTGTGGAAAAACGCCAAAACTCGAGTTCTGCAGAATGGCGGAAATACTTATAAAAAATACAAAGAAAATTTGATTAAGTGGAAAAGTGTGTTTCAAGTAGCTTATTTGTGAAATCAATATTTTATATCATTCAATTATACAATAAATTATATTTTATTATTTAAATAAATATTTTTATACTACATAATTTATATAATGATCATATTATATCTGTAGATTAAATTTTGCAATATATATCTATATTTTATAGTAAATAAAAATAAAATAAAAATAAATAATTACAGTAAAAATTTTAATTTTTTCTAATTATATTAAAATTATATTTTTATAATAATTAATATTTTAATTTTTATTATATCAAATTATATATAAAATATATTATTATGAAAAATTAATTTTGTATATTTTTGTCATTCCACTATTCCGCATAATTTATCCAATTATATCAAAATAATTATTCCGCTATTCTGCATTCCGCTATTCTGCATTCCACCATTCCGCAGCTTAATTTTTTCCGCAATTCCACGGTTTTATTGTGTTACCAATGGTAGCAGAACCCACATCAAGTTTACCTTGTCAGAATCTTTTCACTGAAGTGCATCTTATGACGTCATTATAGTTGTATCTAGTCCCCCTATTATCTAGTTTATATTTTTTTTTGTCAAATTCTTCAACAGACATGAGTGCTAAAACATAAAATTCATAAGCTATAAGAATGTGTATAACCTTTTTGAAGAAAAATGTATTGAACAAACGACATCTTAGAAAATTCTTTGGTTCTTTAACTTCCTTTTCTTCCAGGAATGCCAGATAAATATTAATGATCTACATAAAACAAAGTTCAAGCTATTACTAAATCATAGAGGTCCAAGTATATTCAGTCGCATAAAAAAAATCTACGGAGATCTAGAATTCGTGACTAACCTGATCGCCCAACCATTGACGTGGTCTAAGGCACCTCAGTTTTTTTCCCTGTAATGTCAATTTTTAAGTTCTCATGTGTAACCAAAACCTACCTGCAGCAAAATACATTTATATCACTACATAACAAGAACATATATGAATTCTCAGAGCGAGTAAACTGGGGACCAAGAATCAAAATCATATTGAATATTAATGCAAGCTTGCTTTAGAAAGAGGTAGAAACGGTTCACGTGGTAGATACTGAAAATTATTTAAAGAATAGAAAACTATAAAGAGGACAAACAGAGAACACATGACAAACAAAGAACACAGAGTATTGCAACCAAAGATAAGATCTACCATCCAATTAAACTGTATTTTGTTTTGCTTCTGTCATAATCCAACCAAAGACAAGATTCAAATTCACTAATCCAACACCAATCAATGAAAGATAGAGACACATAATCAACTAGATGGTGTTGATGGCCTTGATGGTTCAAAATCACATATCCTTAAAATAAAACAGTTTTCTTGTAACGCATCCATATTGTGATAGTCCTGTTTCCTTATGCTGGTTTACTTTACTCTATCAGAAATGTTTCTTTTACTTTTCTTTTGCTGCTGCTATTCTTGACCCTTTCGTCTATCAGAAGAATTTCTTTTCTTTTGCTACTTCTGTTTTTGATCACAACTTGGCTGCTGCTGGTTGTTTTCCTTTACACCCTTTCGTTGATTTCTGATAGATTAAAGGAAAACAACCATCAGCAGCCAAGTAATGATCAAAAACAGAAGCAACAAAAGAAAAAAAATTCTTCTAATTGACGAAAGGGTCAAGAACAGCAGCAGCAAAAGAAAAGTAAAAGAAACGTTTTTGATAGAGTAAAGGAAAACGAGCAGAAGGAAACGAGACTATCACGATATAGATGCGTTACAAGAAAACCGTTTTATTTTAAGGATATGTGCTTTTGAACCATCAGCGCCATTTAGTTGATTCTATGTCTCTATCTTTCATTGATTGGAGTTGGATTAATGAATTCGAATCTTGTCGTTGGTTGGTGTATGACAGAAGCAGAATTAGATACGGTTTATTTAATTGGATGGTAGATCTTGTCTTTGGTTGCAGTACTCTGTGTTCTTTTTTGTCCTGTTTTCTCTGTTTGTCCTCTTCATAGTTTCATATTCTTTAAATAATTTTTAGAATCTACCACGTGAACTGTTTCTACCTCTTTCTAAAGCAAACTTGCATTCTCAGCTAATATTCAGTATGATTTTGATTCTTAGTCTCCCGTTTACTCGCTCTGAGAATTCATATATGTTCTTCTTATGTAATGATATAGTGTTTTTTGCTCGAGGAAGGTCTTGGTTACACATGAGAACTTAAAAATTGACATTACAAGGAAAAACCTGAGGTGCCTTAGACCGTGTCAATGGTTGGACGATCAGGTTAGTCACCGCATCTAAATCTCTGTAGATTTATGTGACTGAATATACTTGGACCTCTATAATTTAGTAATAGCTTGAACTTTGTTTTATGTAGGTCACTAATATTTATCTGGAATTCCTGAAAGAAAGGGAAGTTAGAGAACCAAAGAAGTTTCTAAGATGTCATTTTTTCAATACATTTCTCTTCAAAAAGGTTATACACATTCCTACAGGTTATGAATTTTATGATTTTGCACCTATGTCTGTTGAAGAATTTGACAAGAAAAATATAAACTTCAGTTAGATAATAGGGGGACTGGATATAACTATAATAACGTTAGAAGATGCATTTTAGTGAAGATGTTGGAATACCATCTGATAGATTGTGACAAGGTAAACTTGATGTATGTTTTTTTTGCTATTATTCTTTATATTACATTCTATTTAGAAATATTTAAACTCCTTTTTCATATTATCATCCGTCTAAGAGACTTTGTACGTTTTCAAATATTTATCCCTATTCATATGGACATTGGCTGTTATTAATGTAAAGGACAATAAATTTCAATATCTCGACTCACTGAAAGGAAGCGAGCCTAAAATTTTCGATGCACTGGTAGTATTTGAGAAGTAAATCAATTTTACTGTCATAACATGGAGCCTGGTTATGATGTTTTCCATTTGTCAAAGCTAAATACTTTGTCGATGAAGTTATGGACAAGAGTAAAGTAGAAGTTGATGTAAGTCATTGGAAACAAGAAATTGTCCAGAGCCTTTCCGAGCAGAAAAATGGTTAACTTTACCCTAATAAGATGCCGAAACTCATGTCAGCTAATATACTAAGTTCCATCCATAGTAACTTTGGCTCTCCATTTTGCAGATTTGATTGTGGAAGGTTTATGCTGAAATACATCAACTTCTACAATAGAGGTCTGGATTTGTTTTTCACTTAAGTAAAATCGCAGGAAACTACACTAAAAATTGCCACTATTTGAAGAGTTAAGTGTCACTGAGAGACTAAGATTGATTAAATTATAAACTGTTTGTGTGATTCCCACACGAACAAATGCCATATTTGTGTGATTCCCACATGAACAAATGCCATATATTTGGGTTAGGAACACAGGAAACTACACTAAAAATTGCCACCATTTTTTGAGTTAAGTGTCACTATGAGACTAAGATTGATTAAATTATAAACTGTTTGTGTGATTCCCACATGAACAAATGCCATATTTTTGGGTTAGGAACAAATGCCATATTTTGGGTTAGGAGAGCGAATGAGATCTGTGACTGAAAGCTGATTGCTGGTCATCAAAAGAAGGAAACTCTTGACGAATAGTTTTAGAAGAGTCTTCATGTAGATAGTGTTAGGAGAAATCATTAAGTAGAAGAATGTTTTGATTTTGGTAATTGAATCAGCGTGAAGAAGCAAAAAAAAAAAAAGAGATTGCAGCCGTGTTACAGAAGAAACATGAAGGATAATCACTATGCCTTAATGTACTGTTAATCAGTTTTATGGTGTATTGTATGTATGTTTCTTTAATGGTATATTGTATGTTTATTCCACGCTATGATCTTTTGTATGTTGTATTCATGTAAACAAACACTATCTCAACACTTTCAACAACTAACAAATTAAGCGGTCATAATTTTTTTCCTTCTTCGTGAAATCAATAATTATGACTATCTATCAGTTGAAATCATTTGGATTGTATAACTGTTTTAGATCGGGAAGGGAACTTATAGTTTGGTCTGAATGTAACACAAAATATATCGAACCCATTCGGTACTAACCCAGAACGTTATCTAAGTACGCCGTCGAACGTTTCCGTTTCCGTTCAAGAACCGAGAAAACAAAAGTCAACACTTTCAAAAATTAACAAACCATGGGATCATATTTTCTATGCTTTTTAAACCCCCAAAACCAAGAATATAAAAGTAACACTTTCAAAAATTAACAAACCACATGATCATAATTTCTTTCATTTTAACACCCAAATGAACTATCACGGGTAGAGCATACTGCTAGTTTGCTCCAGTAATCATCATTGAATCAAGATCAACCAAAGAACCTTTGAGCAGAAGTTACTTCCTATCGAGTAACTACTGGGGTATATATGATGGGGGAGGCCCGGAGGGTGTGGGTACTACTCAATGTCTTGATTCGGGTTTACTTAATCTGATGTTCTGGTTTAGTCCAAATGCAATACGAACCAAACAAAACCCGTTCGGAACAATACCAGAACATTATCTAATCCAGCCGAACGTGTTAGGTTCCGTTCAAAAACCAAGAATGACTATCAACACTTTCAAAATTTAACAAACCAAAGGGTCATAATTTTTTCGTTTTTAAAACCCCAAAAGGAACAATGCAAGGCACTAACAAAAAAAAAAAAAAAATCATTTTCTTACCTTTCAGGTATTCGAACGTGTTTGATTTTTGACCAATCATGACGATCCGTTATCAAGTGAGATTGTATGAACACTGTCGTTGTCGGTCAAAATTGTTTCTGGTCGTGCCATGATCATGATTTTTCCCCCCGTGAAATCAACGATCATGACTATCTTTAATCAGTTGAAATCATTTGAATCATGACTATCTTTAATCTTTTGAAATCATTCGAATTGTTTCAGTTGAAATCAACGATCATGACTATCTTTAAACTAGCAGTATGCTCTACCCGTGAAAGAAATTATGATCACGTGGTTTGTTAATTTTTGAAAGTGTTGAGTTTTATATTCTTGGTTTTTGGAGTTTAAAAAGCAAAGAAATTATGATCTCGTAGTTTGTTAATTTTTGAAAGTGTTGAGTTTTATTTTTCTAGGTTCTTCAACGAAACTGAACACCTTTGTTGAACTAGCGGAACTGAACACGTTCGGCTGGGTTAGATAATGTTTTGGTATATTTTTGAACAGGTTCAGTTCCTTATGTATTTCGTTCGAACTAAACCAGAACAATTATGATCATGATCCCGGCGAGATACAATTATGATCGATGACGACAGTGTTCATACGATCTCACTTGATCGCCAATCGGTAAAAAATCAAACATTCAAATAACCGAAAGATAAGAAAATGAACGTCTTAGGTTCCTTTTTGAGGTTTAAAAAGGAAAGAAATTATGACCCTTTGGTTTCATCATGGCACGAACAGAAACAATTCGAATCGATCATGGCACGACCAGAAACAATCTTGTTCATGGTTCCTTTTTGAGGTTTAAAAAGGAAAGAAATTATGACGTCTTAGGTTTGTTAATTTTTGAAAGTGTTGAAAGTTTTGAGTGTGTTGATAGTCATGATTAATAAAATACGCCCACTTTATAAGAATTACAAAATGAATGTAATTGCTTGGAACTGCAAGGGGATATGAACAGATCTAACCATACAGTATTTGGAAGAGTTTTATCGATGCTAGCAGCCTAGTTTTCTTTTCTTATCAGAGATAAAAATTAAACGTCATCTTCTACAAAATTTGCAAGTCTCTTATAAATATGATAATGTTTTTATCGTTGAGCCTCAAGGTATAAATGGTGGCTTGACTCTTTTCTACATGAATGATCCTACGGTTATCATACCTTATCTAGATAATCATATGATAGATGTTGAAATATCTCTAAAAGGTCATAAGATCTATGTGACTTTTGTCTGTTGAGATCTGGTAGTTTAGTGCTGAGAACAAGAGTGGGAACGCCTTATGCGTATTAGTCTTAATCGGCAAGATGTTTGGTTTATAATAGGAGATTTTGACGAAAATACTGGAAATCATGAAAAACAAGGAGGGAGAAGACGTTCAGAGGCATCTTTCCTAACATTTCGTACTATGCTAGACAATTGTGGGATGCTTGAATTTCTTTTCACAGGGAATTCTTTATCTTGTGTTAGAAATCGTCGATCCGGAAAAGTGAAATGCCACCTTTATAGAGCTGTATGGAACGAGAATTGGCACAATTTGTTTTCTCACTCTTTTGAGGAATATCTAAAACTCTAGGGTTCTGATCATCGACCAGTTTTGGCCAGTATCCAATCTATTCCCTTCGTAAGAAGCAGAACTTCCGGTTTGATAAGAGATGGGTGGGAAAACCCGGGTTTGAAGAAGCAGTCACTAATGGTTAGGGAACAATTGAAGCATGATCTAATAGGAATCACCATCGACTGGACTTCTGCAGGACGAATATCTCATCTTGAAAGAATACTCTGCCTACTAATACGACAAAATTAATTGAAGAACCAAAAGATAAACTTAATATAGCTCAATTATCGAAGAAATATAAGACCTTAGAAAACAATTTTTCTCAGCCCTTAAAGAGGAGGAGATGTTCTGGTTCCAGAAGAGTGGAGATAAATGGCATAAAAGGGGAGATAATAATACATAATTCTATGACGCATCCACAAAACAAAGAAGAGTTTGCAACTGTATTATCTGCCTAAAACACTATAATGGGAAGTGGGTGGAAAACCCCACCGGGATTGAAAATGTCGCATCTGATTACTTCAAAGACCTCTTTACCACATTAAATCCACAAGATTTTTCAGATTCACTCCGGTAAATTACCGTGAAAGTGTCGAATGACGCTAAAAAAGCTCTTGTCGTTACTCCTATGGAAGAGATAAAAGTAGCAGTTTTTAACATCAAGCCAGACAAAGCCTCAGGACCAGATGGCATGACCAATCGTTTCTATCAAAAATTCTGGCAGGTCACTGGCCAAGACGTAACTAAGATGGCTCGAGAATTCTTTGAGGAAGTCAGTTTTGATCCAAGATATAACCAAATGAATATATGTCTCATTCCCCAAAAAGATCGACCAAGTACATTGATGGAATTTAGACCAATAAGCTTGTGTAATGTGAGCTACAAAATCATCTCAAAAATTATGTGAAAAAGACTAAAGAAAGTACTCTTGAACCTTATTTCGAAGACACAATCGGCCTTTATGGCTAGACGCCTCATCAAAGATAATATCATGCTCGTCTAAGAGAACTTCCACGTTTTCGCACAAATCCGAGCTGCAAAAAAATTTCATGGCCAGCTCCTAAAGCTAGGTTTCTCGGAAAGATGGGTGAAGCTTTTGATGTTCTGTATATTTTCCGGTTCTAATCATGTTTTGACCAATGGAAAAGCTAAAGGAAGGATAAAACCATCACGAGGTCTATGACAAGGAAACTCCCTATCTCCATTCATGTTTATCCTATGTACAGGGGGTGTAATAACCCTGTCAAAGAGCTAAACGATCCGGACAGAGTTTTCGGTTATGGACACCCCTCGGTATAATTTTAAAATTATGGGACTTTTCATGGAGGTAGCCAAGACCATATTGATGGCCGTGGAAGAAGAATTTCTCCAAGAAAAATTCTGACGAGTTCACTAAAAATCGAACAGTCCGATAGATGCGTCCGAGCCGCAAAATGGGTTAACGGAGGAAAACCAACTCGGCCAAGAACCTACCAACTCGGGAATTTAGGAAACTTATTCTAAGCCTAAGAGGAGCCTATCTACTAAGGGAAACCATCAAATCCCGGAGGAAGTCGATGGACAAACTTGAGATCCGAATTAAGGCCAAACAGAGTGAACGCGGGACGAAGATGAAAATATTTCATTACTTCGGAGTTAAGGAGGCAGGAGTTAGTCATATTAATCACATGATTATTTCTGATTGGTGGGGAAGAGATAAGAATGATTAGTTGGCATGCTGGCCTTTTCTAATTGGTTGGAAGAGAGAAGGTAAGGTGTTAATACCTCAGTGGTGGAAAACCTCTATATAAAGGACCTTAACCCTCAATCCCTCCCATTAGTTGCTACCTTAGGCGTGCTAGAGAGTGTGTGAGAGAGAAAGAAATAGAGAAGAAAAGAGTGTGAGTCCGTGAGAGAAAAAGAGAAAGTTAGTTCGGTTTTCTGTGAGAGTGTTCGGATCTAAGTTCTGAGTGAGTGAGAGGTGTCTTAGGTCTTAGAT